CCTTATTTCTATATACTATTCCTTTAATAAACTTACTAACTATATTTAGTAAGTAAATAATAATACTAATATACTCTAGAATTCCGCGGTAATAGTAAATAATACTCTTATAAAAGTACTCGTCGCCTTATAGATTATCTAGAAAACTAGTATAAAGATCTCATAACTTAGTAAGTATTATATTAAAACAAGTAGTAAGAGATTTATTAGGGTACTTATTCTTAAAGTAATTAAGCGTATATTTATTCTATTTATCTTATATATATTAATAGTAGTTTCTATCCTTAAAATATATCTATACTACTTATATAATATCTATAAATAGTAAATCTAGCTTTATAACCTAGGTATAATAATATATAGATATATCTCCTTTAAGTATAGTAGGAAAGATCTTTAGTAGACTCTCTACTTAAATACTAATTATTCGATAGTACTAATAAAACACTTATAATTTATATATAAATATATTATTATAGCTACTATATCTTATATTATTATAATATAACTTTTAAAAGGCTTAGATCTACTAGCTATCCGCGGTTAGTCTAAGTAGTAGAGGTAAAGGAATATAATTTATAGTAGAAATTATATTTCGGAATAGTAAGGCTTATTAAAGTTATTGAGGTTAGACTAGAATTTATAGTATAATTTATAGTACTTAAACTAGTCTCTATATATTAGCGACTATGTATTGTTAGTTATCCGGAAGCTTTAGAATATTACAACTAGTATAAATAAGTAAAGAGTATAACTATTCGGGCTATACTCGCTTATAAGATTACTAGCGTACCTCCGGTACCTATAGCTATTATAGTATCGCCTTAAAGTTATAACTTATATAGTCCTTTATATTAGGTATAACTTATCCTAGAGTTAGTAAAGTACTCTCTCTATAGTAATAGCTCCTATAGTCCCTCATTAAATTAGTTTATAATAGATCAAATTAATTTAGATTATATAGAACTTATTAGTTTATAAGATTATAGAGCCTATAGAACTTATTAGTTTATAAGATTATAGAGACTATACTTAAGGTTATACCTAGGGTTTTAAGAATATATTACCTTATAAACTAGGGTTAATTATAGATTTATAAGGAGGCGGTAGATATCTAAATAGTAGCTATTAAAGTAGAACCGTATATATACTTAGAATAGAAGTATTAAAAACCTAAGTTTTAGAGGGTCTTCGATAAAGGATGAGAGGAGATAGACTTAGTAGTTCTAATAGTAGTATATTATATATATATCGAAGTAGCTCTTATAGTATTAATGTAATTATCATTATAGTTGGCGCTCTCTTTCATATACTATATTAGTCCTTCTTTTAAATTATTTAAAGTAGCTACTTATTAACTATTAACTATTAAAATAGATTATTTAATCTTAGAGTATTAGGTAGTAGAATTTAAGAAGGAGTTTATAGTATTATTTAAAAGGGTATATAAGGCTAAGGAGTAGTATATACTTAACTTAGTCTTAGGCGCTATAAATTCGCTATCCCACTAGTTAATCGAAGAGGTCTTATTACCTTTAGTAAATAAAGGTTTAATCTTAAAGATTATTTAGAAATATAAGATTTAGGTCTTAGTATTTCTCCTATAGGACGCTAAGATAGTAGTTTACTAAGATTAGGGTTTAATAATAGTAGTATAAACAAAGTATTTATTACTCTTAATATATTAATATCTAGATATCTTATTCTTAATATTATAGAATTAATAGTCCCTTATCTAAACTATTTAATAACGCTATTAGTCGGCTAGTAAATAGGAGCTTTTTCTTATATAATATTATATAAAGTAAGAGAAACTTAAACCTCCCTAGACTTATCTTTAACCTAAATACTATAGTCTTATAGTACTATTCAAAGTTATCTAAGATTTCTTATATATACTATTTTAAAGTTGTTTAGAGTCTATATCTTAAAGTCCTCTATAAATCAATAATATAGATTATAATCGTTAAGTAATTTATCCTTATAGCGACTTATAGAATACTTTCTCTCCTAGCAATCTTTATAGTATATAGTAATATTGTTGGTACGACCTGGTGGTCGTGACGACGGCGAATACGGGATTCTGATCACCCTCTGTTGGGGTAACTAAATCGGTGTATTCATTTGTTCGTGAAGAGTAAAGGTAGAGAGAGGTGGTACTCTACGAGCTTAAGTATGTGAGTGGAAAGCCACTCACATGACACCAAGCATGTAGAACCACCAGGCTCTCGTACGAGGTGCTAATCACTATAATTATATACCGACAAATATATTTACTTAATAATATCTTATCCTCCTTAAAATCTAAAAGGTATAGTAAAATTCGTAGAATATTATTGAGTAAAACTCTCTTTTTTTAATAATTAGATTCTCTATAGAATTCTTTATTATTACTATTAAGTAGATTAGATTCTAGGTTCTAGTTAGAAAGATCTACTAGGTCCTCCTTATACTCCCTATTATTCGCTATATTAATTATTATTTTTAGTATAACTATAGGCGAAAGTTAAAATTATAGTTACTACTATTAGGTCCTAGTAGCGAGTACGAGTTATAGTATAGTAATTTCTAGTTATCCTAGGCTAGAGTTACTAAGTGGTATAGGCTAGAACTACCGAGTAGAGTTATATTTAGGGTAAATACTTATTATTTAATAGATATTTAGTTATTATTTTTAAAGAGTATCCTACTTCTAGAAAGAGTAAATATAGTAATATATTTGAAGGTTAACTTAGTAGTAGTACTAGTACTTATTTTATAATAGAATAGGTAAATATAGAACTATATTTTCAAGTTGAATTAAAAGTAGCTTCTAGTATTATTTTTATGATAGAACTAATAAAAGTAGAGCTAGGTATTATAAAAGTCGTAAGGTAAAGTATTAATAGGAGTTTACGCTTAATACCTTAATATCTAGCTATAGTAAATTCGTACTATAGCTATAGTAAATATACTATCTTTTAATATATCTAGACTTGATAGATTCGCGTTAATAGCTATTCTAGATCTTACAGTTTAGAGTACGTAGATTATAATAAATTTATATTATAAATCTAGAAGCTACTATAGTATATAATTCTAGTACTTTCGAGGCCTAGGACTTAATAAATTTATATTAATAGCTAATCTAGGAGCTTTTTAAGTACCTATTATATTAGTATTAGTTCTACCTCTAAATACCTAGCTAATAATAAATTTATATTAAAATCCTAGGAGTAAAAGGTAGAACCTCTACTACTATAATAGCTTTAATATCTAGTGTTAAGGAATCGAAGTTGTTTAATCTATATACGCGCTTATACTAATTAGTATTAGTTTAACTCTAAGTTAATAGAGCTAAAAGATAAATAAGGAAAGTATAATATAAGGCTAATAGTTTAGTGTCGAATATATCGTATTATAAAGACTATTAGTTATATATACTAAGTAAAGGTGTTATAAGTACTACTACTATTATGTAGTAGTACTTAGTACTAAGTATAGCACGTAAGTAGCCTTAAGTAGTATTTACTTATACTAATAGGTATTTAAAAAAACTTAATTTAATATTTATTTATACTTATTAATTTAGTTATTTATATAAGTAATTCCATTAATTATAAATATCTTAGTAAATTACTTTAAAGATAATTCTCTAATAAATATATATAGTAGTTAATTAACTTATTTATATAGAATAACTATAATATAAAGGAAGATATTAGTAAAATATATAGAAAAGCTAAGTCTACTATTTATTTATATTATATATTTTCTTTATTTATATAAGATAATTATATTAAATGAGAGATATTTTATAACTCTTTTAGAAAACTAAATCTAACATATATTTATACTTGTTAATTTAGTTATTTATATAAAGTAGTTCTACTAATCATAAATCTTTTAGTAAATTACCCTAAAAATAATTATTGAATAAGTATATATAGTAGTTAATTAACCTATAAATATAGAATTACTATAATATAAAGAGATATATTAGTAAAATATTAAAAAAGTTAAGTCTATTACATGTTTATATTGTAAATTTTATTTATTTATATAAGATAATTATATCAAAAGAAAAGTATTTTAAACCTCTTTTAGAAAAAATAAATCTAATATATTCTATTATAATTTGATTTAATTACTTTTATTAATAAACGCTTTTATAAAAGGAGTTATTATAATAAAAGTTAAAAAGATTATATTTAGAAAGTATTTAAATTATTTCTTTTACTTATTTATTTAACATAATAATAATTTAAAGAAACCCTTTAAGAAAGTATTTAAAAGAGCTAATTCTAATAGTTACCTTCGACAATAAAATTTCCTACTTTTTTAATATATTAATATTAATAAATTATATGTAAGTAAATTATAAAAGAAATTCTAAAAAGGAATTAAAAATAAATAAACCTAACTCTTTATAAATTAATATATTTCTCTTTAGTTATAAGAAATCTATTATAACCAGCTAGTCTTAAGATTTACTACTAAAGTATATTAGACCTAGAATATACTTTATTATTTCTTTAGTATATAAAGTATTATTATAGGCTAAACATATAAAGAAAAATACTGAAGTTTTATTATATTAGAATATATATTTCTTACGCTATAGTACTAAGATCCTCTAGGGACTTAATACTATAGCTTGTTTAATACGATTACTATAGTTTCATAAAGCCTAGGGTTCTATAAAGTAATTTATATTTGTATTCCTACTAAAAATTAGTAATTCTGTCTAAGAATTTACCGTTTATACCTCATTTAAGCTTGTGTTACGCGAAAGGCCTCTCAAAACACTTTCAGAGGTTACATGTTAGTATGAATACAAGTCTCACAAGAGCAAAATACATCACATAAAAAGCATCAAACAAGTTTTCGCACCCCAGAAATACCCATTTCATTTTAATCTTTTGAAAAAATGCCTAACAAGTAGGCCCAAACCCGGTACAAAAGAAAAAAAAACCCAGCGCAATTGTAGCAGTATGGGAAAAAAAACATCGTTTTTTTTATTAAACGACAATAGCGTCTCCACCGGCAGCACCCATCTCATCGTCGTCGTCCTCCTCCTCTCCGTCCGTGCAATCAAATTGCGAGGCAGACGAGTAGGCCTCCTCCTCCTCAGCAGCAGTGGCGGCGGCGGAGAGGGCGGGGCGGGTGTTTCGGGCACCCGAATACTTACTATTTGGGAGGGGAAGCTGATTAGCAATTGAACGATATATTTTGAGTGCTGAAAATATAATCTCGTGGGTTATTGCTCTTGAATCAACTTACAAATTTCTGCCTGCCTTTTCGGCGGCAAAGCCAGCCCGTCTCTCCACCATCCCCCGAGAAACCCCCCCATCTTCTCCAAGCGCGCACGCTCGGCGACTTTGGCCCTGTGTTTACAAGACCAGCGGGCTTCTTTAACCGGGTCCCGAACCCGGACTTTGGTGGGCCTATGGCGCGTTAGTTGGTCAGTCTGTAGTTGGGGGTTATCTCTTGAACTGACTTCTTCTTTTCTGCCTTCTTCTCTGCCTTCTTCTCCTTCCCCTTCTTCTCACCCTTCTTCTTCTCGGCCTTCTTGGCGGCGGCGGCGGCGCGCTTCTCCTTGTTGTTCTCCTTCTCCTTGCGGGGAGCCATTGTCTGTGATCAAAAGATTAGCCCATGACTGGTAGAATTCTCATGGTGTGGGGAAGTGACAACGCTGCGTGATGAGAAATTGTTGCGAAGACAGGTCAAAATTGACTCTGGCTTCTGCAAAGTGATGGGGATGGAGATATGGAGTACTTACAAAACAAGCACAAGATCCTGGGATAGTGCGATGTGATGTGATGCGATGCGATGCGACGGAACGAAGAGGAAGGCTTGGTGGTGGTGGTGGTTGTGATGAGGCCTGGAGAGTTTGTTGATCGTCGACGCGAGAATAACAAAGCCAGCAATCTCAAGCTATCCGAATTAGGCCTAGCCGAGTCTACCATATGAGCAGGCACTACCCCTGGCACCGAAATTCTGCTCATGGTACTATCTATTGGTATTGCACTTACTTGTCCATATTCTGGTGGCAGTGAGCCTTTTGGAAGCTTCTGTCTCAATCCGCCTTCAATTCAAGTATTCAAGAGTCTTTAATCACAAGTTCTTTCTCCAACAGTTGCCTATCAGCTACACAAGCACTCTTCATGTCTCTTCCTTTCATTCACTACCTATCTCTTTCTGCATCTCTGGTTCTGTCTTCAGCCCACTCCTGCCCTGTCCCCCCCCCCGCAGATATGGCCCCTTGTCCTGGCGTTGACTTGAGTTCAATTCTTTCTTGAACTGCTGGAAGTATCTCGCTCTCTACTTGAGCTGCCAAATCTCTGACAGAAGCGCTTGCAGAAGTTCGCATCGCATATACCACGCCGTCCTGTATCAAAACAGTTGCCGCATTCGCTCTCCCTCCACTTCATTTCCCTCCTCATACTTTGAGAGCTCTCGACGATCACAATGAGCTCGCTATCTAGAGATACCCCGCTGGCGCAGGAGAGGCAAGTGCGGTTATTGTGGACTTCAAGGCCAAACCACGAGCTTGGACGTTACAGGGGGGACAAACCTTTGCTGGAGAGTACTTGGGCTTGCCTTGCTTAGCAATGCAGAAGCATTACATGATAACTCGCAGAAATGGGAAGCTTGTTTGCCTGCGTATTGATTGGCGTAAGAATGTAGAAATCAAGCTTAGTAATTACTAAACACTTGCCGATTTCTACTCAAAACATAAACAAATGGCTCTGTACGACCAAATGTATAGAGTGTGCAGATAGAGAACAACCTTGAACACACGTTACGATTGGTTTATGGAGATTTTGTGGCCTGCGTTAATAAATTGGCAATGAGGTTGTTAATGAATTGATGGTCGGTCGCTTATTTTCGGTTGTCCCCCCTTTTCAGGAGGTTGTGCTGTTGTTCCCCCTATATCAGTTGAATTTCGGAGCGAGCGCAATGCCTGTTCTGGTTCAGTAAGCTGGTCCACAAAAAATATCCTAGACAATCAGGAAAATCAAAATCTTAGTAACGTTAGAAAACTAGTGCCTGCTAGCGCCATTCAAATGCGGCTAGTGTAGTTGAGAGCTTTGCTAGTTTTATAATAAATTTTCAACGCTCCAACTGTACTTGTTACTGCAGGTGCACTCCAGTGTCCTAAAGTCACGTGCCGATTTTCAAATACTAGGTCCATCGCAAATCTCTAGGTAACCCATTCCTGAGATTGTTGTTACGGTGCAACAAATATTTGAGTAAGATCACTAGTCAATAGAGTACTTTCAAATTAATTAAGTGGCACACTGATAAGTGCTTAACACAACCAATAGAATCATACAGGTAAAGGCAATTGAACAAAACGTAGAAGTATGAGAAATGTCTAAACTACCGACCTCATGCATCCTACTGACTCTCCCCTCGCAAGACCAATCATTCCAACAAACCTCTTGCTTTCAAATCTCTTACTGCCCAACACTTAGTCAAATCTCCCGCCTCCAAAGCCTTACCTGCTTACTACTACAACATAAGTTTTCACATCGCAAACCAAACCAAGGAGCCACACTTTTCTGCCCTCAAGCACAATCACCATCCAGCTCTTGATGCAAATGAAGATATACATTAATCTCACCCATTTACTCCCAGTGGAAGGACGTATAAGGAGAGACACAATGCAGAGGAAAGAAACTGGAACAGTTGGGGAAACGTCTTTTATTTTTATTTTCTACATTGTGATGGAATTGGGTATTGGAACAGTACTTAATTTGAGTCTCTTCCATGATTGGATGAAGATGGACGCTCAGACATCGCCTTTTGACGTTTGGTGGCCATAGTTAAGGTAGATGCTTTGGACTTTTTTATAGCTTATTCTTGAAACGCTGAGAAGCTGCGAATACCTTATTGCAGGTCTTTTGTTGAGAACAGGGGAGATATGAGAATTGAGGAATGTCTTATAGGCATTGATTGCATTTTGTAAGTGGACTTGGGGTTTCTGATAGGCGTTTCCAGAGAAGCTTTTCCAAAAGCTCTACACAGTTTACTCATCCACAAGATGCTCTGCTGCACATCTAGAAAAGGATGAATGGATTCCAATTTCTCGCCTCTTTTCCAATCCATCCATCAAACACCCAAATTTCTCCAAGCCCACCTACACCACAAACATCCCCCCAATACCAGCAAATAAACCTCCAATCCCCGATCTCATCTCAAACCCTCCGTCCAAGAACCCCCATCTCACCCTCGCCTCCCCGCCCTATCCAAATTAAACGCCGCGCTAATCAAACTCAAATGCGAAAAGGCCTGGGGCGTATTCCCCATCTGCTCCCCACTCCTCGCAATCTCCTCACTAAACATGCCCAAATGATTGCCAAAGCCCACCATATTCTCGAACACATTCGTCGCCCTTACCAGATACTTCTTCTCATAGACACCGGCTCGGGTCAGCGCCTCCACCAGCCAGAAGGTGCACATCGAAAAGGCACCTTCACGATCACCGACGCCGTCGTCGGCGTGTTCGGTGTTGTATCGGTAGACCAGGCCCGTGGATGTGAGACCGCCCTTTTCGGGCGCGAGGAGAATCCGGTCGATGGTGCGGATGAAACGGGGGTCGTTAGGGGAGATGAAGAAGATGAGGGGGGCGATGAGGATGGATGCGTCGAGGACGTCACCGGATTCGTAGGATTGGATGAAGCAGCGTAGATTTTCGCTGTAGCCTTGGAATGAAATGTCAGCAACCGCCAGGCACCGAATATGGATTGGAGAAATAATTACCCTTGGTCATCACTTCTCCGTAGATCTCATCTCTAATAGCTCGCCACTCTTGTCGGTGTGGACACGGAAGGCATCGCTTGTCTGCGAGACGAATCCCGCGATCGAAGGCTACCCATAACATGACCTTGGAGCACACGAAGTTTTGTTTCTTATTTCGTACTTCCCAGATTGACATATCGGGTTCCTTGTAAATAGTCATCACGTAGTCTCAGGCCTCGTTAGCAGAATTCCAAGGAAAGAATTTGTCAATAAGTACCAAGTATCTCTCTGATAGCAACCCATTGATCCCACGTTACCGGTCGCCCATATTTGTTATACAAATAGATGGCATCCATCAGCTCTCCATAGATGTCGAATTGTTGATGGAATGCAGCACCATTTCCAATTCTTACGGGAGCGCTATTTCGGTAACCAGAGAGATGGCTAGGGATCTGTTAGTGGTTGTTTGGCTACAGATTTTGGAGGCGGGAGGGACAAATTACCTGAATTCAATTTCTGGAATTTCCGTTTCACCTCTGATTGTAAACATGATAGGTAGAGCACCATCTGGACCACGAGACATTTGAAATCGATTGCTTATGAAGTCCATGTATGCATCTGCTTCGGCTGTGAACCCCATCCGAAGGAGGATGTAGATTGTGAAGCTTGAATCTCGCACCCAACAGAATCGATAATCCCAATTGCTTAAATAATCAGCATAACACTAGTTATGAAGTATTATGACCATGAGAAAATACTATCCGAGCCTTTTCTGAAAGAATGGAACGTTCATATGAATTTAGAGGAAAACACATACCGAGGTCCACCGATTTCTTCTGGAATTGAAAATGTAGGAGCGGCGATAATAGCACCAGTAGGCTCATAGGTAAGGAGTTAAGATCATCAAACTTCTGTTCACGACTTCTCTCCATCGACCTTTGTATTTGTTCTTCGAAATCCAATTGAACCAATAATCTTGGGTTGATTGTTGTTGTTGATCCAGCACTTCCGTCGTACTTCTGGCGTGACATGATTTGGCATATCATCTCTAAGAACAAAAGAAATAGCTTGGCCTTCTTGTAACCGTATGCGTGCAACTACCCCATCACCCTTCATGTGTGGTTTTTGTTTCTTGGTAAAGATAACCGTGGGACAAAATTTGACATCTTCCTCGCCACGATCGATGGTAACATCCAATTGAAGTCTGGTATTTTCGGATGCAAATACGACGGTTTTGCTTTCGAGGCTTCCAGGGGGGTGGTTAGGAAGGAGGATTTCGGTGGTATGTTCTCCTCGTGCATAATCGAAAGCCGGGAAAATCTCAACATCTAGACATCCGACATCAGTAAGGTTATAATGAAGCTAAGCTGTGTCATTCAGGGTATCAATAGAGTACGTACCCAGATCAAGTTTGCCTCGAATGCACTCCACCCTTCTCACCAGCCATTTCTTCAATACGTCTTGGACGGCAACAGACTCACAAAACGGCGTCTGCTTTGGGAGTTTGGCGACAACATGCAACTCCTTTGGACGTGGAAAGAAATCAATCAAGTCAATAACCCCCTCCTCCAATATGTATCGTGTCTGCAAGATATTCGAGGATGGAAGGTATCGCTGCTTCGTGGTGAAGGTCGTATTATTGGTAGGTGAAATACTAAAATAGCCGCCTTTATCTTTGTCGAGGAGTCTGCAAAATATTGAAGGGGAATCAAAATCAGGCCTGTGGGGGTGTCATTAATCAGTCGCATCCCTCAAGAGTTCTAATTGAAGCCTGCGAAGTACTGCAAACCATGAGGAAAGCTTACCAGCACATAAAATCTATACTACCATCGATACCCACCAATGCGCAAGTTCGCATATTCCAAATCAATCCATAATTCTCGATTGGCAGATATCCCGTTGCGCTTCGGCGCGTACTTGTCGTACCCACTTCAGTGGACATGTCTTCCGGTTGAATCCAATTGAAAATAGATTTGATATTTATGGCCGAGATCAAGAAAATACAGACAAAAAGAGTGGCAGATGGTAGTACTTAGGTGAATCGGTAAATAGCAAAAAAAGAAGCTATCGCCAACGGAAAAAGGACCAAGGGATTGGGAAAGACAAGCGATGACCTAACTTGATTTCACTGTGGACCGTCGGAACCCCGGATGGCGATAACTGAATACGAGTATTTCACAGCTCGAATTCTGTTGACCCTTTTGCATTGCCACAAACGTGATTTCAATTGCCCTCTTTCATTCATATCACGATGTGACGGGGTTTGTACCTATGACGAAATACGACCTGACTGGAATGCGGGGGTGGGGGTGGGGTGAATGGCAGCTGCCCCTCGTATTTCAGGTTTACATAATCCACGTGATCGTGTGGGTGTAACTCATGGAAATCATTCCGTAGAGAACGTTTTGGGTTACGGATAGAGTAGATACGCCTTGTGTAGCTGTACCTTGGTACTGTAATTTAAACGAAACCTAACACCTGAAACCTGGGGTCCTCAAGATCTTAGGTAGCGGGCAATTCCCGCCAAGCGTAGAAATCACGTGGAATCGCAAAAGTACCGGTGAAGGGGACGTCACCCCAACTTAAGCCTTGTTAGCACGCATTAAGGTTCCGCATTGAAGTTTGAAGATTAATTCATCTGCCAATCAAGGAGAGGAGCTTGACTGGGATAAGCAGTAAGAGGACGCGTATACTTCGTAAAAGCTTGTATACACCTCCCGAGGTCGCATTCGTTTAAAATAGAGACGGAGCAAAACACGTTCAAACGATCTAGCAACTCCCCCAGGCCCTATGCACTGACTGACTAGTAGTACTAGTGCTAGTGGATCCCGTACTCTGTGGAGATCCTCCATAATCTACGGTACTTAATTCTAACTCACATCCTTGAACGGGTGGGTGGAACTTGGCGATGAGAGAAAGGCCCCGTCGCGGATGGATCTGATCGATCATCCATATCGAAGCAGATCCGTTAGAGACACAGTTGAGGCTCGGCGATTCGAAGGCTATGGCCATCGTGATTTTTTTGCTGGCACGTTGCTAGGTAGGGGTTCTATTTTTGGTGCGTTTTTGTGTGGAGAAGGCGATTTGGGATGCTAGCTTGATTAGGTTGGTGAATTGGCCAACCATGTGTTGGGCTTTGAGGATAGGGGGAGTTGGGTAGCGGAGGGTGGATAATGGATTTGGATGGGTTTTGTGAAATGTGAAAAGGGGATGCGAAAAGATGTATAATAGTTGGTACGTCTTCCCTTCTGACCATCGTTTCTGACTATTACCTCTTTTTAATGGTGTTTTGTTGTTGTTAGGGTTGGAATCTGGATGTTCGTGTTGTAGTCATAATAGGGTTGATTGGTGCATTTCATGATAGTAGAAATAGAGAGTGATCTAATAATGTCCTTTTATTTCAATAAAGAAAAAAAGATTTTTGGTTTTGATGCCTTTTGACAGCGTCTTGAGTAGTAATAGTCAGTGTAATAGTCAGTGCGTCTTTTTACTGCACTTGCTTCCACAATACTAGGTACATTTGCTTCCGCTGATAACAAGCGACAGCCCAGTAGAAAGACGTACTGACTATTACCAGTATTGAGCGATAGACAGTGGCAGGAGCTGTTGGCTGCCTTCTCGTGATATCAGCCTGAATTACCACCCCAGTACGCATATTTTCACTTAATGATCAAGACTAAGTTTAACTTAAAAGTTTCATTTCAATGAATTTTATTCCCTCATAAAATGGGGATTCTCAAGCTCAAACTCATGGATATCTTCGCACGCTAGAATAACAATACACGGCAAAACGTAAGAGTACAGTATTTCCTCCATTGCAAAATCCCTCTCAGTTACTTCATGGAGTGATTCCATCCTTGATCATAGCATTGATAATCATCACATGGTGATCAGCAGCCGTGGCACTCATCTCGCTCTCAAAGTTCAAGCCATATGGCCAGAAGTGTCCTCCTCCACAGCTGAACTTGGCATTCGCGCCATCAAAGCCCTTGAGGACTGGGTTCGCTGCTGGCCAGTTGCCGGTTTTGCAGTTATCGTTGAATTTGGCGGTGGTTCCTACGCCAAGGGTGTGGGCGATCTCGTGGAGTGCGGTGCGCTCAGTCATGAACTCACGACCTGATCCGAAGCGGATTCGGCCGTCTGAGCTGCCGTCTGCGGTTGGTGTGCCGGGGCTGTATTCCACGGTGATTTTCTTGGTGGCTGTGGAGCCGAGGGATTCGTGTCGCTTGATGGCGGCATCCATTGCGACGGTAATCTTTTTGTAGGCGTCGGTTTGGTCTGTGGTTGGGCTGGCGGCCTTGCTGATTGTGTAGGTGATTCTTGCTGAGGAGAGGCCTGCGAGAGCAGCGACAAGCATAGTTGAAGAGATCTTCATATTTGCGGTTTTGGGGTCTTGACGTGAAGGATGATGGGAGAAATCGTAAAGTCGTGTGCTTGCGCAGATATATGGTAGAAAGGACAGTAAAGACAGTAGGGCCGGGAATTGTACGTCAAAGACCGTGTGGTTGGGAAACAGCCTGATGTGTCTTGATATATATACAAGTATGCATAGGGAGTCTGTGGGAGGATGTGAAAACAAACTGTGGGCCATATCATCCGTTGCACCTTGCGTCCCATGTAAAAATAAGCCTGGTTTGAGAAGTCGTACGTTGAAGATGGAATTAAAGGGGCCCGTCCGACAGAGCTCGGCTATATCCAGAGTCTGTTATTGGCCCTCGCAGCTTGGGTATACACATAAACAAGAAATGTGCATAGAATAAGCTGAATTGGGGAGAAAGAACAGGCTTTGGATTGGCTTCTTCTCCATTTTCCACCAATACCGACTGCCGCCAGAATCCGCCTTTAGCCATGGGCATTGGGAAGTGCCGAGGGTGTTTACTTGTTGGCAGGTGTCAGGAGGTTTCGCGATCCCAGAATCCTTGAGGCGGATCAATTCGCATTCGAATTACCCTGTGTCCCCTCTGCCGAGACATTTGCGGGTAGATCAGACGTTTACACGCACTCCAGATTTTGCCAGATCTCAGGTGAGCAGAGCCGCAATGTACTGCATCCTTGCTACAAAACATAAAGGGAAAACAAGCGAAAGGGAAGATCTCCATACTGACTACTTCTATCAACCCTAGAGGAGGGCCAAGGTTGATTAGTACTGTATCCACTTACGAACTAAGTTGTTTTTAGAAATTAGAAGCACTAGAACAAATTGTCAAGACTCAAAAGTAAATTTACGGAGTAGGTTATTCAGTGCCGACTTCGTGCATTATTTCGTTGGTACTGTACTGTAATGCAGAAATAAAGCGTGGATTTTTATATACGTCTAGTGTTTCCATTCACATTACCCATTACCTCCACCCCAGACTTCAGCGTAGTAAATTCGGGTAGTTGAGTTAAGTAGTGGTACCTACTTAACTCAACTCGAGTAGTCAAAATCACTAATCAACTCAACTCGCCAAGTACTTAAATAACTCATAAGTAACTCGAGTAGTATCGGCCCGATACCCCATAGCGCGACCGGGCTCGCTAGCCGACTCCGGATACTACGGACGGACGGTCCGCCTACGTATATAGAACTTAGCCGAGTACCCTACCTTATCGCTAACAAAGGGTATAAACAACTCCCGTCTCCCCTTATACTATATACGACTTATTATAGGTAGTATAAGCCTATAATATAACCTCTTAGCTAATTTGATTATCTAATTTATATAAGAGTATATTATAAAGTAATTAACAAGGGGTGAGAACGGGGGAAGAGGGGGAAGAGAGAGACCCGAGCTATCTAGACCCTTTATAATCTTAAAGAATACTATTAGGATCGCTATATAGTTTAGTCACGCTTTATATAACTACTCGAGTATTACTTAAATAGTCAAATCTACTACTCAACTCAACTCAACGGAATCACCTAATCATACTCATTCAACTCAACTCGAGTACTACTCGAGTCGGGTTGAGTATTTGATTAGAAGTGTTACCACGCTGACCCCTTAACACAGCCGTCCATCCACAGCCATTCCCCCCCACAACAACAGCACAAACTACAAACCCTCCAAACAACGAACAGCAAATCCCCCACAAATCCAGAAAACTCTAGAATCTGAGTAGAATCCCATAACGTTAACTTCTAAAGTTGCAAAAAGCTCCTATGATTATATGATATAATAATATCTCACCAGCAAGATCTCTTATCACCAACCCCCTGATCTCCATATTCCTAACCTCACACCAACCCCCAACTCCATCCCCATCCCCATCCCTTCCATCCCTCCCTCCAGCACACTATTAACCCTTACAATTACGGTGTTTGAGTACGTTACAGTACTCATTACATAGACCCCCGCCTTGGCGTCGAAGAAGAACATCACAAGAATACTTTCCAAACAAGAGGGCTCTAAACCGGTACAACTCCCTCAGATAAATCTTATTCTAACCAACCCCCATCCCAGACCCGTCCTAAACCAAACCAACCCAACCCAACCCCCCTCCACCTTCCAAAGCCTCACACTAACAACCCCACCCTCCTCCTCATCCCTCACCCTCCCCTTTCCACCCCAACACCCTCCCTCCTTCTCTCCTCCGCCCTCCTCCCTCCCCTCCCCACTCCACACATCGAAAGGGCCCTCTGATTCCTTCATTAACCGCTCAACCTTCATCGTCGCCTCTTTCAACTTCTTCTTCTCTCGCCTCCTATGAATCTCCCTCACCCTCTTCTGCTGCCTTAGAAAAACCTGATTTGAGACGTTCTTCCCGAACATCATGGTACTGATATGAACAAAGATACGACGGAGATACGTGTACTCAGTAAAGTAGGCCCAGGAGACGGAGAGGGCGTAGTAGATGACGCCGCGGATCCACGTGGAGAAGGCGAGGGAGATGGAGATGATGATTACGCCGATGGAGATGGGGACTGTGAGGGTATCGATTAGCTAGGGTTGGAGATGGATAAGGGAAAGAGAAGGGGGAGGTACAAAGGAGTTTGAATTGTTCCCGTAGGGACATCCGATTGCCAGTTCCGTCGGGGGAATCAAAGTTACTGGCGTTCATCCCGAAGACGGAACTCATGAATGAAAGTGGTAGGAAGATGATGGTAACGATTGTGAAGAGCATGACGGAACGGCCTTGCTTGATACTCTCATCTGCTCTCTTTAAAGCATATTTGGCTTCGATGATGCTAGCCTGTTGCTGCTTGAGGCTCAACAGATCTTTCAGCTGCACATAATTAACTGGTGCCACATGTGTTGGATATGAGGAGCTTCACAAACCTGATCGTATATCGAATTTGTGCTGCCCTCAAGCTCCTCCAATTCAATCCTTCGCAGCGCAATATTATCAACCACCTTCTTCGCGTGTCGCAAAGTATTTTCCGTAACCGCAGACGTAGGGATACTTTGGGGGGCACTGACAGTCCCATTGAGAAGCGGTTGTTGACCACCACCCCCAGAAATGGGCGAGGTGGCGTTACTCGAATTGGCCTGTAACAGATTCTTAATTTCCACCATGATTTCTAGCTTTCCATCATCAGCAGGCATATTTAGATTGTGTTTCCGCTCTTGATCATGGAGCGTTCGAAGATGTTCGACAAAATCGGCCGCAACCGTTTTCTGTTGAGAGAATATGCGCATCATCATTCGCAATTCTTCGATTATATCGTGGACTTCTTTCAGCAATTTCCCTTCTGGGTTAATATTGAGATATTTTCTAGCCGTGGATTCGAGATCTATATGTTGACGGTCGCTCTCACTGAGTCTGTCCAAATGACGCCAGAATGCTTCGAAGGCAACTATTTTCATCCCGGACTGGTTGTTTTTAGCATGTGTCCAGAAAATGCTCAGTAACCCTAGGCAAAAAGAAAACACAAAGGCTACAAGAAATCGTTTCGATGGATATGACATGCTGAGGAGTTTGGGCTCCTCTAAAAGCTCCGGGGGCAACCACAGGGATGACTTACAATATGACTGAGGGCGTTAGAAAAGATATCGAGCAACTCTGGTCTCTCATCCACCGGTTTTGTTCGGTCGAAAAAAACAGTACTGCACTGATTAATTATTAGGAGAGCCAAATCATACACTGACTCGATCTGCCCAACTCGTAGATGGTCAAGCATAGCACGAATTTCTTTGTGCACACCCGAATAATCGGGCTTGTTGCGGCCCCATCGACGTGGAAAGCTAGAAATAATAGTATCTGAAAATGTTTTAGAATCTGGCTAAAATGTTGGATCAACATGTATGCAACTCACTCTCATCCAAAATGTACAACCACAACTGGTCCACCATTACCACACGCGTAGTCCGAAGAGGACTCTTTCCTTCCTTTGTTGCGCGAAAAACTACTTGGTCCTCATCCCTATTGTCAGTGTTTTGAAGTTTCCAATAGTATGACTGATCCAATGTTCGTCTGGAATGTAAAGGCGGATCTTGATGTAGGTGATCTCGTAGCAATCTCACATCAGGCTCGATGTCCATAGCATCATATATTTTGGCAATTTGCAGTAGGTAATTGGCCAATGGACCGCGCTCTTTCTTTTCTTCTTTCTTAACCGGAGTCCTCGTATCTTTGGGCAGATTAAAGTCTGTCATTGCCTTAGCTAATACAACTTCTTAAGCGGTTCTTGCCAATGCGTCTTGGAAAACCTGGGTACCGCGAGGGCTGTGCTTGAGGTGCTGTGATGTGATTTCTCGCGTCACTTCGGCCATTTGCTTTCGACGTTTGTGCGATTCCCAGTGGAGATATGGCATCTACCGGAACCGAATTGTGTAAGTATTGAAGTTCGAACAAGCATTATAAAGTGAAAGCGACTAGCGATATAGATGAAGAAATCGTGAACGTGGGGGCGAAACAGTTGGCGATATGTTTCGGTTTTGAAAACCGTACCTTGAAGTGGCACATAAATCACAAGACTTTTATGGAACACGCTCTACTTACAAATATCACAAAGTCTTTGTTCCCTAGAGTACGTTCTGATTCTGTCCCAGACTCTGGCATTATGAGCGAACAGTGTGCGCGCATATGGCGAGCGTGGATAGGATCGAATTTACCTCCGCCACGAAACAAAGATCAGTCCGGGTTTGAAAACCTTGACTCCAATGCCTAGAACGACATTCGTTTGCCTCACTACGCCTCGAGAATTGTGGCTAACTTGTGCAATGCTTCTCATACCCAAGCAGGGTGTGACTGAGGGGTAAAGATTCGCTGACTTACTGCTGGAGTGATGACCAGTATTCCCGACACAAAATATTGGAGGACTTTTCGCGACATCTTTTAGAGCGCCGCCAGTTGTTTCTCCTGGAGTGTCCTCATCATAGTATCTGCCTATGGCTTCCTGACAGAGATGTTAGATTTGAGTTAATATGGGATGAGCATACACACCTCGATCCAATGCATATTATTAGACGGGAAATGAAAGTAACGTATGGTGTTAGGATTATCAGTACTGGCCATCCGCCTCAGTGGGTTGTTTTCCTTGTCGTATAGAACTTTGTGTAAGTCATATCTTTCGATCCCAGAGTTCATGTACGACGAAGAAGTAGAGCTCTTCTCCAGCGTAATCTTGCTTACGCTGATCCCATAAGAATCGTGTGGCTTGGGTCTCTCGGGTTTTTTGCAAGGCGAGTCGTCGAGCGTTGCCTCTTCATTCTTTTTGGCTTGGCCATGGTCCTTTTTCTTGGTCTTTAATCCAAGTAATTGCGACAGACCCGAGAAGCAGCCCATCGAGCCAATTTCTGGTGTCTTTTCAGCTTCCTGAAAGGGTGTGGCAGGGCAAGGTTTTGAAAGGGCTCTATCTCCCACTTTTTAACCTTTTGGAGAATGTTGTGTTCCCACAAGACTCTTCGTTTGTAAAGTTCGGACTGTTGGGGCTTTATCTTCTTCATTCCTTGAACTCTGGCCGATAAGTTCTCAAGTGCCTGACTACTATTGGCCTGAGCATGGATTTTCCAAGCAGCCCGCAAACGCTTGAACTCATCCACCACAGGCTTGTTTTCTTCTGTATCCTCTTACGTTTTCCGTAATTGTTCAGTCCTTGCACGTTCGCGCTGTACTCTCGCTTTCTCGGCTTGTTTTCTCTTGGAAAGAAGGGCATCTCGAGCATCATAACGGCATCTGAGATACTGAACCAAAACGTCATCTTGTAGCTGTTCAGGAATCTCATCTGGGGTGAAATCCTGGGTCTTCTGAGGTTCTCTGGCCGGATCACGAGGCCCAGATCCATGCCCATTCTGTATAGGAGCTTCCGACATCGCGATGTATGGGCGCGCAAAATTAACGAAGGAAAATGGGGTTGGCATTCCCATTTATCAGCGAGTTAACCAGGCGGTAGCCCTACAGAATTGAGGCTGCATCTCATCATGGTCATATGAAGCTTATCACCGCCCCCAATGGTGATTGCGGCTCAACTTTCTCAAAGCGGGCATCCGTATGAGCCATTGACGAATAATATGAAAGCGACCCACTCCACCAATATGTGCCCCCTGAAAAATTCCACGACTCTAACAGGGTCGATTACCGAGCTGAGAACAGGTGCTGCAGAAAACGGGAAGATGGGGTGGGCAAATGCATTTGTACAGGGCGTGAAATCAATTAATGCAGCTGGTTGGTGTTGCACTTGATATGACAAACAGCATCCCATTGTAATCGAGTGCGTAGAAAGAACAGGTGGAAAATGTGAAGTGCAACGTGAACAGCAGAATCCCTTGGGATTCTGCTGTCAGCAGTTTATGACACCACCTTTCGACGTGCATTTCAAGGGGAATGGAAACTTTTCAGGGTACAAGAAATAACAAGAGACTGCATTTTGTACATTGCAAGTCGAAGAACAGGAATGATGGCAATGTTTGTCGCTAAAACCCGGGAAATTGCAAACTGCAAGTCTTCTTATGGTGAGAGCAATTGGACGAGCGAGAAAGAAGTACTTACACCAGAACCAATCGACCAAGGGAATGCAAGCTGCAACAGAGCCTCATTCTGTATATCGCACGATGCCCAGTTTGCATGTCGACGTCATTCAAGTGTTACTTTGGAGGGGTATTGTGGTTCGTTCTCAAGACAGCAAAGTGTAGAGTCGAACTAGAAGGGCACTGGGCTTTGGTGAAACAGTATACGTATTGGCTGACATTTCCCCAGACCCAAACGGCCGTAGAACACAAGACAAGACCACAAAAGAATCAGCAGAAGGCAATGCCTACGAGGAACTTCACCCACGTATGTCCAAATCAGAAGACGTCGCCATCCTACTGTCGTGGAAGTACATTTGATCCCATTGAGAGCTGGTGATTGGAGCGTTCTCTGCGAACCCCAAACGTTCGCCGATTCCAACAATGGCATAAATTCGAAGGAAGCATGCGACATATCGGTCCAGTATTGTCTTCTGTGGGATGGTACGTGGTAGAGGCGCATGTGCGATCAAGATATGGGTGATTGATGCATGGATTCGAAGGAAGTAGGTAGAACGCCTGGAAGAATTAGGTTCGCAAACCCGTTGATTGTGGATGATTGGATTGAGAGTCCACGTACTAGACTTAAGGCTATATCCCAACGCTCGTCTGTTGAATTGATTGTAGGTAAAGCGATGTACATTTCATCAAGCAATCCTATATGTCTTTTGGAGTTGAGAACTGTACTCAAGTACATTCGTTCTCCCTCTCCCTCTCCCGTGCGTCTCCCAGCAATCGAGAAACCACGACCTCCTCGCCACTGCGAACCCCACGCGTCGTCGTCGTCACGTGCAAGCCCCAAGCTCCCGTCGCCGGCCGACTTGCACCCCATCTCGGCCCGCCAGTATCAATGCTAGAATCGTTCCTTCCCAGATACTTGAGTACCAAGTACCTAGGTACTTTCGCGCCATACCGAGTACTCCATACTCCATACCCCGCGATTGAGGAAAATCCCGTTGGTATCCCAGGTACAGTACAGTAGCGGTAACTGGTTGGTCTCCAGCTCATGTCTAGCTCATGTCTAGCTGCATGATATACCTATAGCTAGGTACCGTACCTACCTGGTATTGTACCTGTACATGATAGGTACATGTTGCCTGTTGGGCGGCAACTCGCATTTCAAACACACCTCACCCTCACCTTCACCTTCCCCCCCTCCTTTCCCTTCACAGCAAGCCTTACCCTTTTCGCTTTCCCCTCTTTCTGTCTTTCCATCTTCCCCTCTGCTTATCTTCCCCTCCTCATCATTCACGTCCACCCACAATCGGTCCGTTCAAGTCGTCGAACGTAACCGCACGCATCAAGGAAAACCCATCCCCTGCCTAACACATCCCAACCTCGACGAACTCGGAATGAGAACACAATAAGCCGCCAGCATGGAGGTCTTCGTACGAAACGTGCCAGAGCAGATCAACGAAAACTCCTTCCGGAACTCCTTGAGATCGGCCTTCACCAGTCTCTCCATTGTCAATGTTCACTGCCAGAAAGTAATTGGGAGGAGATTTGCAACACTCACATTTCTCAATATCGATGAGGGACAGCAGTTTCTGGCTCGCCATGGTCAGGTCAGAAGCGTCGACCGGCGAGCACAGCTTCCGAAACAGAGAGCAGAGATTCTAAAAGTCCATGGACAGCCAATCTACTTTGAACTGAGTAGCCGTGAGGCGGATCGACATTTGCTTCGAGTGCTTGCGAAAGAGGCTGATGATAGAATCAAGCACCAGTATCCCAGCAAGTCCCTAGTCGTCTCTACTCATGTTAGCCATGCGGATCAGCTACTTCCTTTCAAATTTGATTGCTCCTCGGTCGCCTGCGGTGTTTGGACTACTGATAACTCCGAGATAGTATTCGCTCCGCAGGTTGAATGGAACGGAGCTGCGACGGCGGTATTTGGAAAGAGGATTATGAAGCTGCTTATAAGCCCCGACCTGAGAATCGATTTCCGGTATACGTCAGTGTTGGAAATCACCACTGAAGATGCAAGGAGCCCATCAATCACATTTACCATGATTGAAGCACCAAGGTTTTTTCAGAGGATCGAAACAGACCCTGTTGCAGAACTCATGACACAACTCAACATCACCGCTCAGGGGCAAAAGGCTCCATCTGTCCGCAAAAGCCGCCAGGATCGAAAACGCATTCCATATCTAAACAAGCAACACAAGGATTTGGCTGGAAGCTGTCTAGTCTATCGCATATCTCTAAATCCTTATCAAATTACAGAAAAGGGTGATCTACTCGACTTTGGCAACATGATGGAGTCTTTCGGGAAGATCCACGGCATGCCACCCGTACTACACCAGTCTGCTCGCGTCTGTGGATCGTTAGAACCGTATGCTATTGGCTTTAAAAAGTTGCATGAAGTACTTTCTAGTATTTCCAGCCAACTACCTTTTGCTTTGAAGTTTCAGATTCAGCGACTAGCCCATGATGGATACCTTTCACCATCAATGATAATGTCACTTTTGCCCAGTTTTGAGGGGATAGATGTAAGTTTTCTTTTTTCTTCAAAATAGCTTCAAACCGAAAACCAGCTCTGTCCTTCACTGTGGAGAGGAGGTAATATTTGCCACTCGTGAAAACAATTTTCTGACTCTGCGATGTTGAGCAATAGGCCACTGTTGCTGTCAACGTTATCCGAAAGTTTGCGCGGAAGATCCCACACTTTCAGCCAGACACTGATGCCAGTGAATTTTCTTTGGCTAGACTCATGGATCTTTTAGAGGAATGCGAATCACAAGCCAAGAAGGAAGCTGAATCAGGGTACGAACAAGCTATCAAATCTCAAAATGTGGCAAACATTCATCGAGCTCGAGTGACACCTTCCGGTGTAAGACTTCACGGACCAGAGCCGGAGAGCAATAACCGCGTGCTTCGACGATATTCTAAACACCATGAATTCTTCCTACGCGTACAATTTTGCGATGAAGATGGCCAGCCAATCCGATTCAGTAGCCGAATATCCAATGACCCGATCTTCTACGGCAGATTTTTAGACGTCCTCAAAAATGGTATTGTGATCGGCGAACGTACTTACACCTATCTCGGTTTCTCTCATTCCTCTCTACGTGCTCAGTCTTGTTGGTTTATGGCCCCGTTTGTATTTGAAGGCCGCCTTCAAATATACCAAAACACTATCACTGGCCTAGGCGACTTTGCACAGATTCGCTCTCCGGCGAAATGCGCGGCTCGCATAGGTATGGAAACCCTTTCTATCGGAGTTGAAATGGTAGAAAGTTTAACTTCTATTACAGGTCAAGCATTTTCCGATACAAGAACTGCTGTGAGGATCAACATGGACTCTTACATAGAAATTCCCGATGTCGAACGAAACAACCGAGTTTTTAGCGACGGCGTTGGTACCAGTGAGTGAATTAGTATTTCTTTGTTACTCGTGATATTCGGACCAGTATCGTTTTCTGCGAGAAGGACATTTTTCCTCTCTTCTCGTATGATATTGTCCTAAACTGTCTCCCGTCACTGTTCTAATCTATGACCCGTGGCCCGCACGTAAGAGTGACTGGAACTGTCCTTTTTCAACAGTTTTCGCCCCCAACATTGGTAAAACATTTACTTACCATACTACAGTGTCTGAGCAGATAATGCAAAAGATTGCAAGCAACTTTTATCCAAACTAAAATCAATAGCAGCGCTAACATGTTTTAGTGGGCGGAGCTTCCCAAGAAAAATCGGTTGAATCCCACCTGCCTTCAAATTCGCTTTTTGGGCGCCAAAGGAATGATATCATTAGATACTCGATTGTCCGGCGAGGTTTTGGCGCTTCGCAGGTCGATGATCAAATTCGACGCACCTGAGAGCTTCTCTGATATAGAGATTTGTGAAGGTGCCATCAAACCTCTTCCCATGTATCTCAATCGACAGTTTATCAAAATCTTGGAGGACATGGGAGTCGAGAAAAGCTTTTTCCTAAACCTCCAAGCTGCAGAGGTTAGTAGACTCCGAATGGTCGCTGATGATCCTTTGAACGCCTCAAAGTTCTTGACACGTCAGTCAATCGGTGAAACAGTCCACCTACCTTGGCTCATCACCGAACTCGCCATGTTGAATTTAGATTTCAGAAGTGATGGCTTTTTGAGAGATACCGTTGAACTAGCTCTGTTGGGAGAACTTCGAAAATTGAAGTATAAAACCAGAATTCCGGTGCCGAAAGGATACCATCTCCATGGTCTTATGGATGAAACGGGGTTTCTTGAAGAAGGACAAATATACTGCGCTGTCATCGTTGATGGCGTCGTCAAACACATTGTCGCCAAAAACATCATTGTTAGCAGAGCTCCTGCTTTGCACCCGGGAGATTGTACTATTGTGGAAGGTGAGTTAATTTTCTTCATTAATATCGTAAGCTAATGTTCTTCGTTGATAGGAGTGATGCCACCTGCCGGCTCGCCACTCCTGGCCCTGCACAATTGCATATGCTTCAGCCAAAAAGGCTCCAGAGATATACCAAGCCAACTTAGTGGCGGTGACCTTGACGGTGATAGATATTATATCATGTGGGACGAGATGGCGAGGCCTAAGAGAATTTTTCGACCGGCAGATTATCCAAGAGTTCCGCCCCTGGATATTGGTCGTTCTGTAACAAGAGATGACATGTGCGAATTCTTTGTCAAGTTCATGGAGTCAGACCAGCTGGGCCGTATCGCAGTAGCACATCGAGTAAAGGCGGACCAAGAAGAATTGGGTGTACTTCATCACGCTTGTCTAAAAATGGCGGAAATGCATTCGACGGCTGTTGACTTCTCAAAGACTGGAATTCCAGTAGGCAAAACTTTCTCAGTTTACGACGTAGCTAATCGTTGGACTCACACAGGTCGATATGTCACAATTCCCCCGTATGGTTAAATGGCGCCCAGACTTTGAAGCTCCCGGACCACACGTTCGTATTGAGCCAAAAGGCCTTTCTCTTGAGGAGAAGTCCTTTCGTGAGCCCCTTGAAGAAGAGGACGAGGATGACGAATTCTCAAGCTATCGATATTACAGAAGTGAGAAAGTCCTTGGAAAGCTGTTTCGTGCCATCGACGAACGTGAGATCTTTAGAGAGATTCAGGAACGCGCTTCAGCTGAAGGAATTGCTCGTAGGTCTGGCCTGATGGAGTCGGTTTGGAAGCACGTCGAGTCGAGAGTGAAGGGTATCCAGTGGGAATACTTGATGAATGAGGCTTCTGATATCCGCGAAATGTAAGACGATCAACAACCTACTTCCATTTTTCGATTGCTGACATCTTTGGTACTTCTAGGTACGAGGATTGCGTTTACGAAATCATGACAGAATACAGCAGCCACCCATCCCGACCTCTATCAGAATTAGAAGTCTTCACTGGAAACATCCTTGGAAAAGCCGGTGCTCCCACCCGACAACAACGCGAGTTGTCCAAGACAATGAAGGAGAAATTCGAGGATGACACAGCGTTCATCGTCAACTGCATCACCAAAGACGGCAATGAGTATGCCAATTCCGAGGAGGCTCTTGCGAAGAGTATCGCTTGTCTGGCTGTCAGTCTGGAGGCAACTAACCCATACAAGAGATCTGTGCAACTCTCTAGCTTCAAGTATGTCGCGGCGGCGGTCTGTCTCCGGGAAGTGAATAAACTCCCCGGATGGTCGAAGATGCCTACGCTGGATGTCTTTGATGATATGCGGCGTTTGAGAGGATGATTTGATGGGGGGGTTTTTTTTTTCCTTTTGCACGCTATGGAAATGTGTCAGACGGTGGGAAACGTGCGTTGCGTGATTTTTGTTTGTAAGATTATTCGGGGTGGGAGCTGTGCTTCATTGCCTCTAATTTGAGAAGGGAAAATCCATGGATTTATGGTGAGATATTGGGAATGGCTCTGCTATGGCATGGCATGGAATCGCATCGCATCTTTGCTGTTATTTCTAAGGGAAATACTCGCATGGAGATGGGGTTGCTTGCTTGCTGGTAGATAGGCACATGGCGGAATGGCATGGGCTTACAGTAGTGGGTACTAGAGATTATTGAGCAATCATGGATTGAAATGGAAATCTTGTTTTGTTTTGTTTTGTTGCTTTCCTTGAGTGTATTCTAGAGGGAGATATTACTTGGCTGTGCGTACTGCGGTTTTTGTTTTTGTTTTTTTTTCGTGCTGTTCTCTTCTCTATGTTCTCTTTTTTATAGGTGTAGGAAAGATGGAATCCAAATTTCCTTAAGGGGACGGGGTTGTTGGGAGAAGTGAGATATGGGGCTGGTTGGAAGGAGGGTTGGGTTTGTGAGAGAGGGTAAAGGAGATTGGGAGGCATCTGTGGATTCTGAATTCTTCGGATATAGCAGGTTTTATAGTAAATGAGGATGGGGTTGCTTACAGTAGTAAGCCATGGTGGGATGTATATCCCACTGCTGGAATACCATTCCGTCAATAGCACCACCATATCTACCATATCGTCAGTGAGCTACACTATTGTAAGCTCTTCTGTATTAATCTGTTCCTTATTTAATCCTTAATACATTTCCTACCGTCGAAAAAGTACGATATATAGGTATAGGGATAGTAATAATACTAGATCAAACGCGCGATTTTCGCTACTTTCTTTTAAGCTCGTTCCTCAACTATCAACGACCTCTACGAACTAGCCTCGGGATAGTATATATAGGTTGGATTAGTAGAGATACTCGCTAGGCAAGGAGGGCTCTCTAGGTATGGTTTTAGCCTATAAGGCTTTCCTATACTTGTTATATAAATGTAAGAGGGGTAGATATTTCATAGGGTAGGCGGTAGATGTCGGTATTAGGCGATAGATATACCTACTAGGAGAGATTTATAAGGGTAGTTCTTCCTTGTTCCCTTTTTTCGTTTTATTCTTAGTTTTCCCCTTTTCCCCTTTGTTTTATAGCTACTTCCTTTCGCGCTACTTAAAACGGCCGAGGGTACTTATACTTCGCTTTTCACTTATATATGTAGGCAAATTATAGGCACTTAAAGCTATCCAGCAATACCAAAGTGAAACCAACAATCCGTAAGCCTTATTTGATGTGACGTGTGACGACTGACGAATGAACATAAATGTGTATATACAATGCCATTAGACGTTGGTACTCCTCGTAATACTTTACATGAAACTTGAAACCGAGTTCGTAAGTTCCAAGTATGACGCTACTAGTTCATAGTGTTCTCCTGGTTTACTGATCTCCTCATATGTCTGCGTTATTTGTGGCACATGTGCGGATGTTCTTATGGAGAGACATATTTAAGATTCAGATTTCTCGATTGAACTTTTCTCTATCACTATCCACCGATCATACATCTAAACCGTCAAAGCTCGAACCAACATCGCCGCCAAACTTGTGAATCCCCATCCCAGACTCTCAACCACGACACCAGCGGCTTTCGAAGAAGTCGCCGCTGGGGCATTTCCTGTTGGTATTGCGCCACCGGTAGTAGGTGTTGAAGAAGTGGACGAATTACTTGCGGAGCTAGCTGGACCGAGAGTTCCCCCTCGGACGCCGCTGGTGCTTGTGGTGGTTTTGCCGGTGGACGCGGAGATGTATGCTTGGACATTTCTGCTGCTGTCGGTTCTGGGAGATTTGTTAGAAATGAAGAATCCGGAAAATGACTATGAGAAGATGTCGATAATTTCTAAATCGAGATATGATATTTTTAAATTAGAGAATAAGTAACTTACGGAGGATTAATGATTCCATCCATTCCACCCCCACAATGGCCTGGGGCGCCACAGTAATAGTAGACCGGTTGCTCGTCCCTGATACTGAGGCTGAACGTTGTTTCGTTCCCCTGGGGACTGGTGGTGAAGAATGGACCAGAGTAGAAACTAGTGTTGCTCAATGGCTGGCATGGATTTTCAAAGCTTCCTTGAACGACGGAATGGACTTGGGGGTAGAAGTGGAATTCTGCTACGCCGCCTACAGGGATAGAAACCGAGTCGGGTGAGAACTTGATGGCTCCGTTTTCGTCGCCGACTTTGATGACGGTGTTGGCTCCTAGGGCCATGGGGAGAGTGAGGAGGGAGAGTGAGGAGGGAGAGTGTTGAGTAACGCATTTTGAATATAGGGCTAAGAAAATTATAAGATACTGTGTCTTCGGTTTTGTAATTGAGCAGTTTTGAGAGGATTGAGAGGATTGAAAGAAAAAAACAGGGAAAGCTGAGCTAAATGGTCTTGTTTATAAGACACGGGTAATTCGGAGGAGCAGACACGCCGCCCCCTCTTGACTAAAATCCAGCTGCAACGTATTACAGTATTTGGTGACGCGATACATCTCAGTCAGGGGAGGAAAACACGAGTTTCATACGCCGTAAATATGCACAACCTGATATCAGGGGATGTTGTAGGACCTAAAAGGGTACATGTACCTGGCAAAGGCGTATTTGGGACGGGATGATGGTACTTGTAATGTAGCCTACAAGGGGTGATCCACTAGGGGCTGTAAGACGCCATGTAAGCGGTTCGTAACATCTTAGGTTAGCTCAACACAAAATCCATGTCACACAGCATAATTTCAAGTATGTGGAACCAATGGGAACTCGTGCATTCTTTCAGTAGTGCAGCCGAAACAAGTGTGATCGCTTAACTTGTTGCATTTACACAGCCCTACTAGGAAACAACCATCGTCTTTTCAGGATCAATTTTCCCACTCGGTATCGAGAACTTGTTTGTACAGTAACTTGTAAGCTAGGAAGCATCTAGCCTTGTCAAGCTTAGCGCATCCTTTGATGAGCCTCAAGCTTCGTAACCTGAAAACGAACGGATGCAATTCCGGTAGGGCGATGATGCAGGGTGAGAGACAGCCTGTTGGTAATGTACGGCTCCCACGGCATCAGAACCAATCGCAGATGGATTCCAGGATAGTATTGACGAAGTGTTCGTTTTTTTAAGAAAGAAATATGTTTAGCTTGAGGCCTCCTTCCTTCTGACTCTGATTTTAGCAGTAATTGGAGGGACTCCGAACTCAGCAAACCACTGTAATAAATTAGTAAATGTTTCCTATTTGGATTAAAAACCAAGACTTTGACAGAGAACCGAAACGTTCTAGACAGCTGGAAATAGGGTGCGCCAGAACTAAAAAGCAAAAGAGATATTGGAGAGGTTGTATTACCGTGTTTGCTGGCCTCTTCCCCTCATAACTTTCAGGAAATTCCAAATCGTAGTTCTTCACGATATACGACAGTAGCATCTTGAATTGGATATCAATGAGTCCCCTTCCTGGGCACGCGTGTTTTCCATGATTGAACGGCAGGTTTTCAGCAGAAGTAGCAACAAAGCTGAGATTGTGAAGATCTGGGTTTGCTTCCCGCTGTCGAGAGAAACGGAAAGGATCGTATCTCTGAGGATCTTTGACTAGATCTGGGTCATGTTGCATTTGGTGAGCGAGTATTCCAATTTTCGTGCCTTTCTGTAGGGGGATTCCATCCTCAGTAACAATTCCATTGGGTGCGACGACTATGCGTTCCATGGCCAATCCTAGGAAGGTGTGTGCTCGGAGAGTTTCTCTTGCGATGCTGTCAGCACGTAACATTGCTGCGACCTTGGCTCTGGTCCAATTGTTTTCATCGTCGCCGAGAACCCTGCTGAACTCCTCACGGAGAAGAGACATTGTGTCGAATTCCTTGTCCGTTGCAATAACATTCAGGAGTATGTTGTGCAGTGTAAGAACGGTCTGGTGGATAGTTCCAAAGTTCGAAACAGCAAGACGTTTGGTCATGTCTTCGAGACTGGTGGCCTCGTCGGTACGTTCCTTGATAGCGAATTCCATAAGCATCTGTAGTAAGTCTTTTGGGACAGCTTTCTTCTCTGCCGCGCTTTGAATAATTTGGAGTCTCTCTGTATGAGCTGGAACGAAGCGATCGGCGAGGTCCTTGAGCTTTGCCGGCATAGATTTAACTCCCTTCGAGAAGTGGCCTAGGTATGTTCGATACACTTTACGTGCTCCTCCAATTTCTCCAGCAACTTCTAACATGCCACTTGGACATATTAGCACGTTTTTCTTGACTGCACAGCTGGAGGATGATTTGAATACCTACTCTAGAGTATTATAGCAGCTTTGAATGAACCCCTCGTCTCGGCCTGATAGAACAAGTCAGTTTTCGCAATAGAAGGCCGTCTCCTACGAGTAATATACAAAGCTTTCGCCCTTCAACCGAGTCTCCGAGCGTGAATCCCATAACAGCCTTCCCAGTAACCAGCCGGCATGCTGGAAAAAGATCAATTTCGTTCCATTCGGTGACGTCCATTCCGAAAGCAGCATCAACCGCCGGTCCTACTTGCTCAAGCATAATTGTTCCCATCGTTTCCAGTACAGCAGTCAGGTCTGACTTGACGAGCATTCCTCCCCATGCATCAAAAGCAAATTTAGGACCCAAGCTGTGTTCCAGTTGAATAGCGTCATTTTGACTCGCATGTGAAGAGAGTAAATGATCTGGCTGTTTAACAATCCATGGTAAGGAGCCAGGAGGTAATATAACTTCATCGTGAGGGCCGTATTTTGGTATCAGAACTGATTGGCCTTTTTTGGAGTACTTTGGTCCCGCATTTTGTCAACCATTTTTCTTTACAGCTGCGACAAAGAAAACTCACGTTCTCATAGACTTCATTGAGCACACTTAGTGAATCCGTTTGGAACCTCTTCTTCATTGCTTTCCATGAAACTCCTTCTCGCTTGCCGAGTCGCGGCAAATCCCGGGCGTAACATACTGTGAAAGCTCTTCGATACGCAAGCAAAAGTGCTCCAAGAGAGAGGATGACAAACGCAGCGATCTTGTAAAGGGCAGAATTGCCCTTCACTGCTTCGTAGGGTGAATCCATGACGAATGGTGGTTTTCCTACCACTTTCTCAAATCACAAGGAGTTTTGCACACCAAGAAATTGAAGTGGAGGTATTGCTTATGCATAAAAAGGCGAGATCCGGAGAGGGGAAGTCATTAGGTAGAGTTTTCTTTTCTTTGGAACTCCACTCGTAGTTTTGTCCGACTTGTCGGCATCGACGGCGAGTGGAGTGGAGAAAGCTCAGAAGCCAAGTCAATAAAGTTCCCAAGTTTGCAGCATAGTAAGAGATGTCTTTCCACACAATATTAACAGACATCTTCCTTTGGAGTGGACTTGATATATCATACCCGCAGGACAAACTTCTCAGCGTCCGAGACATTTCAAAGCTGAACGCGCCCAAAACTCGATTATGAAGATGAAAAAGCCTTCCGAACGCATATTCTAAGCTTAATTCCTTCTATTCGCATATGCATCAGTCATGGTTGATCATTCGCCCAAATGTGATATTGAGATATTTTTGTCTGGGGAGCCCCTGATCAAAACCCCACAGTTCGTTATCAGATTGGATCTGATAAGATAATTTTCACGCCAAGGTGTAAAATAGCTCCACAGTACCCACTTATGGATCACTTCACGGGAAAACCGCTGTGAGCGAAAACTTTAAATCGTACCAAGGCCTATAGATTTGCAGCTAGAACGTCAGGATTCATATCATTGGCTGCTCATCCTTGCGAAGCGAGAGCCAAGGCGATGGAGAACGGAGAGTGTGTAAAGCTAGAAACTCGAGTATTGAAGCCCAATCTAATCGGACATTGGCAATGCTGAATTACACATGACTCAACATGTGAGCAAAGGTTCTTACTAATTGTTATTATGTAAAGTTTATGTTAAAGACTTGGAAACCTGTGCTTCAAATCTTTGCAGAAAAGGCGCAGAAGATCGTACGACTCCTGATAGCGACATGTGAAGTACACTGCTTTGTGATTCGTATTCAGGATAACAAATTTGTTCCTCATTAGAATTACAACCTCCCTCTAGGTTCTTGGGAAGGAAACAAGATAAATCACGTGGTGCTTAAGTGGTCATAATCATCACAGGATTGCAATAAACAAGGTACAATGCCTGAATGACAAAGGTTTAGCTGTTACAAGATTGCATATTCTCTGCTGGGTCTTACCCGTTGAGTATGATGGCGGATATCCCAGGATTATATTTGCATTTGGAAACTGCCACCTCGCTTACGCAGATTACAAAAGGTCTGAGGAAGTCTAGAGCTAAAAAGAGAATACTTCCAGAATAGCAAAGTCAGAAATTCCGCTTGAGTGGTAAGTTCAGATTCTCTTGCATTTTTCATCATACTTAATTCTCTTGCTTGTTTGATACTGTTGATGGGGAGATTCCCGTCATACTCAGAGACAAAGGGTAAGGAGTGGTTAACCATAAGTAGAATAGAAGATGATGTCGATTTGTACTTGCATTAGCATTTAGAGGTTTTTGGTTACAACTTTGGTTCAAGGGAGTGAATAGGATTTAGTATGAGCTTTTCAAAGTGCCCAGTCATGAAGTGTATGGAACAACACCACTCTGCTTCTTACTATTCACCCAGCCTCTGTTAATCGCTTTCTCCGCTTAGACTTCATTACTGTATAAACATATGGCCTAGACTTACAGTCCAAGACAAATCAGTTATTCTGATCGTCTATTACTTCAACCAAAATTACAACAACCACCACATGTGGGATAGGTCAAAATGACTTCAAATACGATTACTTTTGATCCTGATGGCGACCTAGTCTTGGTTTTTGACGAAGCGTCTGTTCTGGAAGACGTTGCTACCTTTACCTTCGCCACTTTCTGTCCCAGCTCTAACCCCCATAAGGTTACTGAGCCCGAATGCAAAAAGAGACGTTTAGAAATGGAGAAACGCCAGCACCTTGTTGCTGCTGAGTCGAAAGAACCTGGAGCACAAATAGACAACCAAGACTCTGAGTAGGTTCCAATGGTTGTCTCATCAGACATCTTGACTGTCGCCTCGTCTGTGTTCAGAGCAATGTTTAATCCAGCTCATGGATTTAAGGAGAGCCATATCTTGTAATATGAAAATTGTACGATATATCAACTCGATGATGATCCTAGAGTTTTTGAGCTCTTTGTTATATGCTCTGCATCTCGAAAAGCTCGTGTGAACCTTCAGAGATACCATATGAGTATTTACTCCCTTTGGCATTGGCAATCGACAGATATGGACTGCACGACTCTATGTCATATGTCTTTGATGACTGGACGCGTTCATGGACATGGTCAGGAGTTCATAGATACGAAAAAGACTACAAGAAATTTACAGAATTGTCTCAGGCATTTCATTTCAACCTTTAGAACTGTCCAAATCTAAGGTCGCAGGACCAATTTCTTCTGATAAAAGATCAAGTACGACAAAGTACTGCCTATCATGTACTGTTCCTATATCAAAATACTAATGGATTTGAACACGTAGGTAGATTATGTGGGAGCCTACATGGGGGTTTCAGAGCTTCAAGAGAACACGAAAATACCTATATATCACCAACTTGTCTATTTGTAATCTAACTTTGTTTATAGAATTAGCTACGAATAACAATCTGCAACAACCGAGATTAGGGTTTTGATAATCCATGTTTATGTTTAGATTGTGTGCTATTTTCCCTTTAGACAAAGACCTAGAACACTGGTCTGTTAGGCGTCAATCTTGCTTGCTAATCATTGGGTTCAACGTGTTTATGTCACCATCATCTATGGTATGTAGTGAAAGAAAGACAGAAGATCTTTTAATACTGCCACATGGCTGGCTATCCATCTTTCAACCGTTTACTCCAGATTTATTAACTACGTTTTTTCACCAATGAGATACAGTATTTGTTAACACCAAGTTAATTCACTAAAATATCTACGGAATAATCTCTTCAGAAAAGGTAGATTCACTGGTCATCCACTCCCTTCATCCTTTCATAAGCGAGAACAGTAAGTGTTGGGTTCTTCAACTTGTTTACTGCGAATCTGTAGCTGTGATTCTCATACTTCATCCAATACGTGTATATTTTCTGTATCTTTCTAGCCCATTGAATGATTAGCCTCCCAAAGAGACACGATGTTACGTTCGCTGACTAGAGTTTACTTGATCTTAGTACAGATCATCTACGATATCCACCATCTTCTTTCAACGTGTTCTTCAAGCTTCATAGAATATACAGTACTACACTGCAAAGCACACACAGTATAATATAATGTCTTCGAAAACGATAACCTTCAATCCTAACGGTGACTTGACCTTGGTTCCAACGGGTCCTTTGCTATTACAGACACCGCGTTCGACGAGGATCTGAAATGAGATTAACCCGATAGAGCAACGGATGAGATGTTGCGAGAGGCCAAAACACAGCAAGAAGAGAACCCGCCACCACAGTAAATACGTAGGCTGGTGGGGTCACCAGGGGTTGACACTACTCCGTGCGCAGTCCCAGATTTTGGCCGAAAACACACCAAAAACACCCTACTTTAGTAAATTATAATAAATTAAAGAATAGTTGAAATAGGCTATAGTTCATTTTTTAGATTAAGACAGATAACACCTCTAACCTGTACTCTTTAGAATTCTAATAAACTTTACTCTCCTAATTTTATATAAAATTAGTAAATCCTCTAGTAAATTTAGTAAGGAAAACTTTCTAATAGAATATCTTTAGACATATTAGGTTTTAGATAAAACTTTCGCGTATGCAACTTATCTATATACCCTAGAGAATCAATATACCAAGTATTACGTACTGTTCTAATATAAAGTTACATAGTTATAGGGTTACAAAAACACAGATTTTAGTGTGTTTTCGGCCAAAATCTAGGACTGCGCACGGAGTAGTGTCAACCCCTGGTGGGGTCAGAACAACTGTCTCTCTGTTCGCCTGTCTTCAGAGCCATGTTCAAGCCTACCTATGCATTTTAAGAAAGCAGGGTCCTTCAAGAATAAATTAAGCGAACCTTTAATGGTGATACGCTTCCGAAGCCCATAGAGAATTAAGTTTTGGACTCGCCTACTCCGATTTCCTACACTCCTTTTAACACATGGTAAACCGGTTGAAGACAGACGAATCTTGAATTTACCACTCGATGTTAAGTCTTTGGTTCTGTCCACCGTGGAGCCGGACCTAGCAGGCTTCTCGTCAAGAGAGGTGACAAAAGAAGCAATCTCGTAGCAAAGGTGTCGGATTGGAAATATTAAAAACAAAAACTGTCAAAACAAGGAAGTAATTGTTTTCTCCTGACTTTTCCGTTATTGTTTGGGGGAGAAGTCAAAAGACACTTAGCACACAGCCACCCCTTGCAATTGTGCCGTATCAAATGAAGACCAGAGCCAAGGTCGAGAGTATTGAAGTCTAAGTCTGAGTGCAGGTTCGTTCCTTCCTGCAGAGCTGCTTGTGAAGCAAAGCTCTCGCAAGAGGGCTGAGACATTAAAATCCGACCACGACGAGGTTGGGAACCTCGAGGGCCCAGTCAAGGGTAGAGGCTCAAGGGGCCACATAAGGAGCTGCTATGTGAGGATGAGTGTTGGAGACGGCTGAGTCCTATTGAGGTTTGAGGTTGCCTCCCCTAGGCTAGGATCAATGGCCCTCGCTCTTTCCCTATTGTCAACTTGACATCGGCTCTCAAGTCTCAGCTCAACCAAGGGAACACGATGCGATGATAGAGATCAAGACTTAGTTCGTTCTTTCCCTCTGATTGACGATATTTGACTTCAAGACTATCCACACCGTATGCACTAAGTTCACTGACCAAAGATAAGACATGGGTCTATAGAGTATAGAGAATAGAGCATAGAGAAGGAAGGAACGGCCCTCGAGCCTTCAAAGTATGATCCCCTTCCTCTCCCCCTCTCTCCTCATGCTCCTCGTACATCCGATCTTTTACGCTCGAAAAGTGATATTGACAGGACAGCTGTGCCAAACCACCACCGCCAGAGTATTATGGGTCAGCTTTCACCATTCCCAGGAATCACTCGGGACGTAATTTATGTATAATTCAATGGAAAGCTTGACGCCGACCTTAGTGCAAGGGGCTCACCACATCAAAGCAAGTGCCCTTGAGGCTTCGTTGATAGGCAGATTAATCCGGTTTGCCTTGTCTGAATATACCTGGGCAGCATGTGAGTGGGTCAAGGGGGTGGACAGCTCGGGTCTCCTCCCCCTTGTCACTTTCTGATATACCTCCACATGAATCGGACAATTCAATTGGCTTAGAGGGCTATATTGTGGAGTTATACCCTGCCTATAACAACTCGTATACAGGGGGGAGACCCGAGCTGTCCAGACCCTTTAAATAAACCTCGGATGGCGGGGGCGGGCTGCCCCGCGTGGGGCCAACACGGCCCAACCAGCCCGTAACCTCATTCACTCTCGGACGTCTTGAATTTCTAATTTTCTATATTGTAGCTAAAGTTTGTAGGTCTATACTTACTACTGTAGTCACAAACTTCGAATCCTCTTCGAAAATGGTTCTCCACCATCCAACTCTAGGACCCCTCATCGGTCGTCACATTCCATCTACACAAACAACCCAATACCGCAACCTCAAATTCGCCACCATCCCATTCCGTTTCAGTGACCCCATATTGTTCTCTCCCCCGCTTCCACCCCCGACAGAGCCATACGATGCCACGAATTTTGGACCTAGTTGTCCACAACATCCTTCCTGCTTCAAGTATGATCTAAGCATCGTAGGGAACTCCCCCGAGTTGGAAGAGGAGAGGGAGAGGAGGATTAGTGAAGAGGGTGCTGGCGTGGAAGATGAATTGGAGTGTGCGAATTTGATTGTCGTTGTCCCTGAGGAGTTACAAATAGAAAAAGAAGAATTATTTCCTGTCATGGTATGGTGTGTAAAGAATAATCTTCGATGAATGAGAGCTTAAGACTAATGAGATGTAGGGTTCATGGGTAATATTTCACTCTTACCTTGATAGAATTGACTGAGCAGAAAGTTGACGATAGACAGCGGTGGTTTCTCAGGCGGAAGCAATTCTTGGCCACAATACGGTATGTTGAGTTGTGAGAGTCTCAGCATGACTGGTAATAATGTTCATCTAGATATTTCGAAATTCGTGCAGACATCTACTGAGATCGGAAAACCTATAATCGGGGTCGCTTTGAAGTAATACTCTCTAATCCCATTGGCTATATGAGCTCATGTTTTTTTCAGTTATCGACTTGGCCCTTTTGGATTTCTCGCTTCCTCAGAGCTAGGAGTAAAAGGAAATTATGGGTTGAAAGATCAAGCGTGTGCTTTTGAATGGGTATGTCTTTTACTTTACAGGAAACATATTGCACAAAACCCTCCGCCGGGCACTTTAGTATATAAACTGACGTTGGGACTTAGATTAAAAACCATATCTCCGGATTTGGTGGTGATCCAAATATTGTTACTGCATTTGGCGAAAGCGCAGGATCAAGTAAAGAACCTTATTGGCCTCCTCTCTTTCAATTTTCTTCTCCAATTCCTAATCATCTTTTTGTAAACAGTTAGTCTAACAACTCATCTGCACACCCAACCCTCAACTCCTCTCTTCAATCGTCTCGTTGCTCTATCCGGGGATCCAACCCTTCGCCGTCCAAATACCCTTGCACAGCAAACAAAATACGCCACTCAGATATTAACCAAGCACGATATCTCCACCACCAATAACATCAATATACTCCTCGATATACCAGCCCAAGAGCTGGTACTTAAACTGCCACCGTACGGTGCCTGGGCTCCTACTATTGATGGTTCCTACATCAAGGATGAAATTACAGTTCAGAAGATTGCCGATAACAGTTCGAGGATAGGAAAGCCTGAATGGTGTGAAAGAGTACTCATTGGAGATGCCTTGGGTGATGTATTTACCCCTTTTTTCGCGCCCTTCATTTCATCTCATACCTTCGTCTCATGATACTCTCCAGGCAACCGTTCTTCACGATAGACTTCTCTATCTTCCATCCGAGATACTGCTTTCTCGACTATGGAAATGCTTAGCTCGCACGTTTCCACCCGATGAAACACCGAATTGGACGGAACTAACGACCAGAATTATGAGAGCTTATCAATTGCCACTTGATGAGAAAGAGGCGGCGGGAAAAAGCAGGAAAGAAGTATATGCTGGAATGCTAGCTCTGGTTTCAGATTTGAGATTTCATTGCCCTTCGGTTGCGATGCAAAAGGGATGGGGTGAGAGGGTTGAGAGATATGTTTGGGGAGTTGTGAGTCTACCATTTTCTTTTCCTCTCTCTTTACGACTTTGAAAATAAAAGAAGAGAACATACTGACGGGAGAACAGACGAACCCGCATCCAAACTCATTGTTCACAGGCTACGCAAGTCACGAGCTGGAAGTCGCGTTTCTATTCCAAAACTTCCCTTTCCCATCTCCGTCCCCACCGTCTTCCCTCACATCTTTACAAATTGGCAAACAATTCGCAGCGGCATTCATAAACTTCGCCTACGGCCATAGCTCCAGCTCTATCCCAGTCCATTCTCCAAACTCTGCCTCCAAATCTTCCCCGGTATCCAGGAGGATAGGAGCCGTGAAAGAACATCTAGTGCCTCCCTCCCCATCGAGGGCGACAGAGAAGCACGATGAGGAAGAGATTATTTATGCGTCGTCTGAGCAAGGCGTCACCAGGATCTCTGCGAGAACATTGGATCAGGTTTGCAATCACGGGAGAGAAGATCTTTGGAGTAGAGTATCGGAGGAGAAATGGTACTTGTTGGGGGATTTGATGCAGAACTCCGCTTATTAAGGGGATCGAGGGTAGAGAATCGTATCGCGGCAGGAACTTTAGGAATAGGAGCACTAGGATCTATTGTTAAAATTTCAGACTGCGGAGTAAACTCAGTGATCTTGTTGGCCTCTCGTATTGACACTTTGGTGCTTCAATTTCACTTCTTCAAGCTCCTTCACCTAGTCTAGTTTTATTCTAGGGGTTCGCTTAAGTCTAAGCCACGTCATGTGATTGTCCTTGATTCTCTCTTACATTGATCAGAGGAAATATGCACTCAGTATACGAATATTATATGTCCTGGACAAATACTAGATGAATAACTACCAGATATCGTGAAAAGTGACTGTGATATAAGTTATGCTTTCGTATTATTCCCGTCCCTTAACGTTCGCTTAACGACAAAAATCACCACCATTTTCATTAAGCCAACAGAAATCAACAAAAACATAACTATCATGTACAGGCTATGCGTTTCGTAAAACCACTAACATCCACAATACATCAATCCCCAAAATTACAAATCATTAACGTCTAGCCTTTTGGTCGTTGAACTTCCCTCTAACCGAACCATACTAAATATGTTGAATAACGTAAAACCCATCCAAAACACGGGAGATACGGACAGCTCAAAGGCCATCAATCAACACCTTTCCCCCTTTCCCATACGAGAGCATTAAAATACTAGTGCGTCAATCTGTCCCCTTGAGTCTTCGCATGCACCCCCCCTAACCAAGATCTACTCGTAAAAATGCGAATCCTCTTCCCATAAAACCAAAAGATGCCTAGCGCCAGATTATTCACCAGCAGCAGGGCCCCAAAGATCCCGGCAATCACGACCGCATAGCCCCTCTCCAAGATCCAATCGAGCAGTTTAAGTCCCATGCCGAAGGAGATCGCGGATTTGCCCAGGTTCATAGCAATCAGCATCTCGGACGTGTTGGCGTTGTATGAGTCCACGGCGTACGCCAGCGTGAAGGAGAAGTAGAAGTACGCTCCCCAGTTGACCATCGCCACTCCCGCCATGTAGCCCATCCAGTGCAGGTTATTTTGTGCTGTCATGCCGTAGAGTACTAGGCCTGCGGGGGCGATGACCATTGCGGGGAGGAGGACGGGTAGACGCATCTCGGCTTCGCGGATGTGGTTGTTTTTCACGGTCAAGTGGGCGGCGAGACGGTCGGATGTGAATGTGAAGGGGATGGCGAGGAAGTAGCCGACTGCGTTGGCGACTGCGATGAGACCGGCGTTTTCCTGTGAAGAGGATGTGTTAGAAGTGCCAATGGGATTTGTAGGAGGTTGGGGTACTTACTTCCTTCCAATTATATGGTGGAGCGACGATTTTCAGGGGGAATGTGTAATTGAATGCTAGACCTCCGAGACCGATGTATATTCCTGTGGCGAATCAGTTGGATAAAATTCTTTGACTGATATACCCAATTAAGGGGACCAAGGAAAGATCGGAAACTTACCATAAGTAGAGATAACCCAAAACACCGCCGGAACAGTAAAGTAAGTGAACGGTCTAATCATAGTCATGAAAAACTCGGCCTCATGATCGATACCATTAAATGGTTTCAAAGTCTGTAAAAAGGGCTTTCGGGCGGGTATCGCACGCACAGCTTCTTCTAACTGTGCATCACTTCCCTCTGCCTTTTCTCCCAGTTCAGATGATGTTGGAGAGCTGGGCGAGGGAACTGATGGGGTAATGCGGACGTAGGAAGTTTCTTCCACGAAGAAAAAGGCTAGGACGAATAGGGCTCCTGCAAAGGCTGTCACGACGTAGAAGAATAGTCGCCAGCTGTAACCCCCAGCTAGCATGTATCCAGCATACAATGGACCGGTGGCACCAAGACAGAGGCAGACTGTTCAACGAGCATTAGTACAAATATCCCATGAGCGTATTTCTAAAAAAGGTTCTTCGTACCAGTGTAATATGCAATCCTCTTTCCTCTCTCGTGCAAGAAGAAGATATCATTAACAAGTTGTACCGGCAGAGCCTCGCAAACACCCGAGCCCAAGCCATGGAAAACACGCGCAACCATGAGACCATGATAACTCGTGGCACGGGAAGCGCCTATCAAGCCCCCCAGGAACTGTTAAGGAATTAGTAAGATTTCTTCCATCGCTGGTTCCCAAGAAAACGTCTAGCAAGGAACCAAAGAACGTAAGACTTACACATAGCAAACTTCCCAGCATGACTGGTCGACGGCCAATTTTCAGGTAAAGTGGTACCAAGAGCATACTTCCTATTCGAGACATCATGGTTAGAGAAGGTGTGCCCGGTGCAAGTAAACTCGAAGTAATAATACACACCAAAACCAAAGGCCAAATTGGGATACGATATCAATCCCGAAGCCTCCGTTGGCGAGATGGTAAATTCTTGCGCCCAAATCCCGATGTACACTGATGGACCGAGTAAAGCTGCGTTCCCAAGGAAAGAGTATACCGAGCAGATGATGAGAATCATTGTCTTTTGGAAATTCGACCACTATGATTTTCCGATCAGTTCACTTTGTCCTTTGCAACTAGGTATAAATTCCAAAGACAAGAGTAAACGTACTTGGAGGGGGTCATTTGGGTCGTCTGAGGGGACGGGGAAAAGAGCTTGTCCGTATGCTGTATCATCTCCCTCTGTAATTCATACGAGCATCAGAATTTGTTCCTGAAATGTGGGATTAGGGAGCTACGAACCAGCGGCACGGAGATTGACCGTTCCTGGGAGATCTTCTTCGTGGGCATGACTGTGTAGCATGTCAATATTTGTCAACTTTTGTTAACAAGTCTCTTGATTCTTACCTGCGATGCAAGTGTTTATTTCCAAACGGCTCTTCCCCTTTGCCTTGATGTTCGTGCTCCATCTTTACTTCCCGTTTCTATTTTTTGGGGAAGAAATGAAGATTGGAGACAATTCGAAAAGAAGATATCGGTCGTTATACTCGAGTAATGCCGTTGTCTCTGTCTCGGTGCGGGCCGATTTAGCACACTGGGTATATCGTTAGTAGGGATAGCCTCACATTTATACGTCCATACATACGGTTCAGGAAACCACACAAAATCCAACCGATGACAATGCGAAAAACTTTGTACCGAACGCCAACCAACACTACCGTATCAGGGGCTTATCAGCTATTGTAAAAATTGGTGTAAAAACCAGGGCACACCATAAATATATACGCGAAATGATTCCTTACATCTCAAGCCCCTTTTCAAACGAAACGCGAGTCCTCTCAAGACTGAACCCTGGAAACAAGGGCCCAAAACAATCAATGCTTTCCCCAGATTCTCAATCACCCCACAATGTGGGATCGCTTATACCCCGCGTTTTGCTCTCCCTGGGGGCGTGGCAGTCCTTGTCAAGAAATACTTAGCTTCCAAGCGGACTTGTGACGTTTGGCGCGGTGGGAGTTGGCGTGAAAGTCAAGCAGCTTACACCTTCTTTATGAGTGTACATTTCGTTTCTTCAATGGTTTTTTTTTTCAATCTCGTACAAAAACGTCCGAGTCAAGGAGGACCCAGTTTGTCTGCGGTATAGTGGGTCTAAACTTTGCCTGATAGCGGGTAATAAACCGTTCGGTGCTGGCTTGGGTAGCACCATAAGCTGCTGCACAAATGCAGGTTGGTGATAGACTGGTACCGTCCATCAACGGTCTAGCCGAGCGTGATCAGACGTTGTGCTGTCAAGATCTACGAGTGTCTCTGGTGACAATCGCGCTCGCCCACTCCTGAGCAGTGCGGTGAGATGAAAGGTCAATTACGGCGAGATCGGGAAGGATATCCGAGTTTAGAGTTTAATACAAAGTATATAAATATACTTAAGTAAATCTTACGGACTCGCCAACCACATTCCACGTGGAGCAGCCCACACAGAACTCGCGGCAGATAAGTAGAGTGTTGGATAAACTGATATCATTCGCAAGCGAGGCTTGCTAAGAAGATGGCTTGTTTAGTAAGGGTTCCTTCACATACTGAATTAAGACGGCACTTGCACAACGTCACACTGTGACGGAATTTCGGAGTGAGGGGAGGCTGTGCTGTGCTGTGCTGTTTTGCCCCAGGGCCAGACCCCTTGTAATTTCAATATTGGTGGGGCCTGTCAAGAAGCGCACCAGGAACACCCGTCTTATCCAATCAACGTGACTCTCCCAGATGATCGCCCAGATTCGCCCTTAATCTTGGACCTTGCTCGCTAGAGTTTACTCGTACTCGAGTACAGTACTTGGCTGGGCAAACATTTGGGTTTCAAGGATATTCATCGAGAGCTCGAGCAGAAGGAAGGTTTTCTGTGGCGATTAAGTTGGGATGCGCACTGGGCGAGATTACGGTAATTTGAGGGGTTACAAGAGGTAATGATAAGGTTAATCTACTTTGAAGTACGAGTAAGAAGTTTAGACAGAATGATGACATAAGCACGATAGATGGTCGTACAGTAATTCCACGGTGTGAGGGTGCGATATCTGAGTGCAGAGCACGAAAGTAAGTCTTATCAAAACTATCCAAAAACACGCAAGATCGCCGAGGTGCATATAAAGACAACCTTGAGTAACGTCAACACCATCCTCGAGTAGGAATGCCGTCTACAGAACTACCACGTTTGTTGAACTACTTATCAAGATATCCGAGTTTCCTATTCTGTCCTCGGTTGACCTGCCTCAACTAGGTTCAACAACACAATTACCAATTAGAAAAATAGCCTCGTTAACAACGTTCGGCAACTGGATTTCCGTTCGGTTCCAGAGTCCTCCTCTGGATTTATTCCATTTCAGAGGCATATACGAGTATTCCATAGAATATATCGAATTTCCAGATCGAACTTTTCACATGACCCAGGCCCGGTAGACCAAGATAAAGCTCCTATTTAGCCTTAGACTATCGGTATTATATAGAGAGTATCTAGCGAGAAACTACCTAAGGGTACTAATAACATATATAGGTGTGGAATTTCCTATCACAAACACGTGAACGTTCCCATCCACTACTCCAAGGTACAGTAGCTATTCACTTGAATCTATATATAGAGATTCACTATAAATGGAATTCCATAGAATACGTTTCATTTGCCGTCGCCGATCGCTGAAAATGGCCTCATCTACAAAATCACCCACCCATCTCAGTACTAGATAGTGGACACCTGCTACCAGATTAGATTCACCAACTACTATAAGAGACATGGTCGTTACTCTATACACACATCTCTTTGAATAAAATTATTCTAAAAGCGCCGTACGAATAAAATGGTTATATAAAGAGCTTGAATAATTGTTAACTCTTATTTTTACTAACCTAGGTATCCTAAGATAATTATTTTATATTTACTATAAGTTTGGTATATTAGAATGTTATATAGTGTGTAATAGTCAGTGCGCTTCCCTTTGCGCAATCTAGTGTTATCCTAGAGCCTCGATAGAGATTCAATCCTCGTGCCTCGGATCTTCAAAAGAGATAAGAGTCTCTTCCGGAGACTCTTATACTGAGATTGCCCTTTGCGCCGTTACAAAGTAACGACCAGGTATCTTACCCACAAAGAACATCACAAAAACAAGAAGTAAAAAAAATTCCAATCAACACTCTAAAGCTCCTCTAATCAAGCCCTCAGCCTTCAAAAAGAAAATAAAGCTAACAGAAACCCTTAAATACATCATTCTCTTCTATTAGGCGTAGTAATAACAGTGCATAACAAACTAAAACTGGCAAATGATTCCATGTACAAGGAGGGCACTGTATACAGCGATACTATATTAACAACTCACATCACCCAAATTCGCATTCCCACCCAAAACGCCCCAAAACCAGGATCTTAAAAGAGTAACACCCCACCTATCTCCACCTCCAACATCACATCACAGCACAACCACATTTCTAGGTTTTATCCTACCCTATCCTACTCAGACAATGTATAGTATCAGAAACACAAAAACACAGTAATCTTACTCATAAATATCACACAAAACCCTCTAACACAGTACAATACACCAACCGATAAAACTTTCATTCCATAAATTCACAACATCCTTTGAGCGCTACCTACCTACCTACACCTCAACCTTCCCATCCACACCATCATCCCTTTCCTTCTCCAACACCTTCCCATCCTTACTCTTCGTATAATACTGCGTGAAATCATGACAAATATCATATGCCGTCTATCAAAAACACAGGAGGTTAGTATCGACACGTTCAAAATTTTTAGTGATATATGACACCAGATCCGTATCCTACTGTCTACTCTACCACCAGGATGAAATAGGGGTGAGAATGGAAGATAGAGAAAGAGAGAGAAAACATACCTTATTAAATTCCTTCCTCATCTCCCCCGTCGTATCTAACTCCATCTCCCTAACATACCTCAGGAACGGATCGTCTTTGAAAGGATCAACTGGATCTCTCTTTGAGACCCTCCTTTGTAAGATGAGAATTAGCAACCGTACTTCCTCGCTTCGACCACCTTTTTTGTCTCTCGCTTCCATATCACCCCTCGCTTGCATACCCTATCCCTGCTTAACTCCCCTCGACACCCACCACTCCCCTCGACACCCACCACTCCCCTTTCCCCCATAAGTACCTCCACCGCCTCACCAAAAAAAAGGGAAAAATCAAACTCACAAAAAATTATCACTACTAATCGGATCCACAAAATCCCTCCACATCCCCCTCCTAACCTCACAATACCTCTCCAAGATCTCCTCCCCACAACAACCCCCCTCAATACCCTCCAAACACTGCGCCAACCCATCCANCCCTCCTAACCTCACAATACCTCTCCAAGATCTCCTCCCCACAACAACCCCCCTCAATACCCTCCAAACACTGCGCCAACCCATCCACATCCACAATCCCCCCCGTGAGGCCCAGTCCCCCAAAGGGGTTCACCAGATGCGCCGCATCAGCCGCGAGCAAGATCTTGCCGACGCGCATCTTCTCCGCGCAGCGCTGGTGGATCCGGTACGGCGCGACGTTCATGAGTTGATAGTCGCCCGGCTTCGGGTTACCGGGGAGCATGCGTTCGTACTTGGCGGGCTGGTTGGCGAGGACTTGTTCGTGGGTGAAGGAGGGGTCTTCGCCGTAGGAGACGCGCCAGAGACCGGCGCGTGTGAGGATCGCGGCCATGTAGTAGTCTTGGGGGTGGATGATGTTGTTGATGTCTGACATGCCGTGTTTGTGGAGGTCGTAGTAGACCTGTGTGTGTTTTCTTGGATTAGCGAACTCGGGCTAGGGGATGCAAGGAAGGATGGGAAAGAAAAGGAGGATATACATCCGTAGCAACAATCTGAGCATCCCAAGTATGACCAGGAAACGACTCCCCAAACAAACACGTCCTCACCCTACTATTTGCCCCATCACACCCCACCAAATAATCACCCTCAATCCTCACCTCGCCCCCCTCCACCTCAGCAACCGCCCATGTCCCCTTCCCATCCTGTCCAACATCCCTAACCTTATGCTTCCAACGAAGCTCAATACCCTCCGTCCTCACCACGTGTCTCAGCAACACCTTCCCCAACAAGTTAAGCGGGAGACAAGTCAGTCCATCCTCGCCTCTGGACTCAGGCGTATCCTTTAACCCAGTGACGAGACTCAGATCCTGTCTTCGCCAGTTGAAGTCCCCAGGTATGATGCCTTCGGCTCGCACATCGTCGAGAACACCTGCTTTTCGCAGCGTGCGGATCGCCGAGGGGGAGTAGTGCGCTGCGCGGGGACGGTCGTCGATGGTGGTGGCGGCGTCGAGGAGGGTGACTTTGATATTCGACTTTGCGAGGAGGAGGGCGAGGATGAGACCCGAGGGGCCGGCACCTATTATAAGGACCTTTATTTAAGAAAAAGAAGAGGGATTAGATATATACAACAAGGTGTTGTGAGGGGAAGCGAAGAGAGGGGGAGACGTACATTCATATTTCCTTGTCACAATATTTACCGACAAGATAGCTTGACTTCCAACAAGAGAAACTTCACCACGTCTCAAAAAAACAGTTTAAATAGACATCCAGATCCCTCTCCTCAAATCAGAGACAAAAGAAGCCCAAGAACCCCATGCCAATGTCCCATCCAGCATCGAGCCATGTATCCCCACTAGACGGATCCCACACCTCATTACCAAAATGACGCCTCCCCTCTAATATGACAAAGCAGAAATCCTGATCGTACTCGACCGGCAATCGATAAGGAACTTCTCCGGGAAATACCTGGATGGAGCCCGGTAGAAACACGGTAGTACCCTCTACTCATACCTCTCCACTACATCTATATCATACCCGTATGCCCCGTATGGCACCTCCTCCAAACAACCTCACCTAATGATAAACCACCCAAACGTCTCCGCGTCATCGAGATCCGAACGAACGGTATACCCGGAAGTGAATTACTAAACAACACAGTGGGGCAGTACCCTCACACAAATCATAAACAGCCAGGGTTCCCCGCGTCCCACACCACCCACAACGACCCCGCATGTCACCATGTCCGAAGGGTTGAGTGAGGTGAGCGACCCACTGAGGAAGGGGACCAGCTCCAGCTCCAACTCCCGTGTCCAGCTCAGGGTTCCATGTTCCAGGCCGGAAACCCTCAACCGGGAATGAAGGGACGGATTCCTTGAAAACCTTCGAGTGGAAGTGTAAAAGCCAAGTGCTTAAGCTAAGCTACAAAGCTTCTTACCCATGAGAATATGGCAGCCACAGGTTCATTCCTCTACTCGGCATGGACTCACACGAGTCCTACCTCTATTCTCTTGTGGGTATTGTATATCGGATTAGCTTTTCTGGTTCTTGATTATGGATATATGGTATATCTTCATTTCCGGATGGTAAGATCCTACACATCCTATAGTACACAAATACCAGAACACTGGCCAGACTAACACTTTCCAGCCACCGGGACCTTTTCCTTGGCCAATCGTCGGAAATACTTTCCAACTCCCAGAAAAGAAACCATGGATCTACTTTGAAAGTCTTGCAAAACAGTACGATACACCCCTCTTGACTTTCTGGATCGGTAGGAACCCAACGATGTGGATATGTGACGCTTGGACTGCCTCCGACCTCTTCGATAAGAGAGCAGGAATCTACGCATCCAGACCACGAATGGTAGTATTTGGCGAACTAGGGAGTGGGCAATCAAGTCTAGTTTCCATGTATTATGGTGCTCGATGGCGAGTTCATAGGAAACTAACCCATATGGGCGTTGGCTTGCAGCAAGTGAGGAATTACTTGGGTTTTCAAAATGATGAGAGTAAACTTGTGGCATGGAATCTTTTGAGGACACCGGAGGACTATGTTGTGCATCTGGAGCGGTATGCTTCTAGTGTTGTTTCGATTATTGCGTTTGGGAGGAGGATTTCGAGCACGAAGGATCCTGTGATAAGTGAAGTGTTGGCGCTCATGCAAAGGGCGGCAGAGTTGAATGTGCCGGGGAAGACTTTCCCCATGTTGATGGAGACAGTTCCTTGTAAGTATTGGATGGTGAGAAGAACAAGACGGGACTGACTAGATGACAGTCCTTGCTAAAGTCCCAACAAAATTCGCTCCTTGGAAATATAAACATGGACTTGGAGGAAAGCATGGAGTTGGTCGCCCGTTCTATTATGCACTAGCCGAAGAAGCGGCTTCCAATCCACAGCAAACCGATTGTTATGCCAAAAAGGTATTTGAGGAAGCCCCAAAATATGATTTGAGTATGATGGAGATCGCGTCACTTAATGGGTCTCTGTTTGGAGCTGGAAGCGATACTTCGAGTTCCACACTTGTCACCTTCTTTCTTGCATGCACCGCGTTTCCAGAAACACTTCCAGCTGCATGGGAAGAGCTTGACCGGGTCATCGGTCTAGACAGAAGTCCTTCTATGGACGACGAGCCTAATTTGCCATACGTCAAGGCTTTCGTCAAGGAGGTATTCAGGTGGAGGAGCGTAGCCATAATTGGGGGTCAACCTCATGCACCCATTCAAGATGACAACTACAAGGTGATATATGCATAGAGAGAACTCTTGAAAGCAACGCTCATAATTTATCAGGGTTGGAAGATACCAAAGGGGACATGGATACAAGGGAATTTGTGGGCGATTCATCGTCATGAACGAGACTTTCCCGATCCTGATCGATTTAACCCTAGCAGATACCTCAAAGACAGTCCCGATTCAAGGCCATTCCCAAATGACAAAGGATATATGGCGTTTGGATGGGGAAGGAGAGTATGCAGTGGTCAAGGTCTGGCAGAGCAGGGAACCTTCATCACCATTGCCCGTTTGTTATGGGGGTTCCGCATTGAAAAGGCTCGCGATGTTACTGGACAAGAGATTCCAGTGGACATATTCAACTACACGTTGGTGTTTTCGTCGTCGTTGTGGCCTTTGAGTGCTAACTTGTTGCAGGAATGGTCTCAACATGCGACCCGAGCCTTTCGAGTGCAAGATCACGGCGAGAAGTGACCAGATCCGTGAGACTATTGAGCGTGAGGGCAACGAAGCAGAACTTCGACTGACAACGTATGATGGCGAAACTAAGTACACGCTTAGTCAGTATTATCAGAACCAGACGAAAGGGACCAGTTGAATGGGCAAGTACCTTGGGGTACTTGCAGTGTTATCTAGTGGTTACATCGGGTGGTGGTGATAATCAGCGCGTTACCGGGAAATAGATACCAATGGTAGACGTCTTTCGTAAACTCCGGGAGAAGGGACATGAACATGCAGATAACTTAATAAAAACATTCCGTATATACCGGCTCTTCTATACCGTGGTTGGTGTAGGAGACGACGTGGTGTAGGAAATGTCCGACTGGTGACAATTGATTTAGCATAATTCGGAAGACGCATGATATCAAGGCAGAAGGCAGGGTATGAGGAGAAATGCGAGATCTGAGTTGATCTACTTCGTAGCTTAATCGGATGGTCCTGTCAAAGAAGATCTCAAGAAATTGGCGGGAAGGTCTCCGAGATGGATGTCTTGGAAAGAGCTCAAGGAATGAGGATTTGAGAAAGACGATCTGAGAAGAAGCCTATTCGTATAACGAGATGGACAGCAGATCATCTTGAACATGATGCCAGAATTGCAGTTGTCGATAATGTGCGGTCTCTTGGCTTCTCTTCATGCTGACAGATGTCTGGACTCTGTATGGACACACAAGACTTGATCGGTTATGTACCGCGACGAAGGCCTTGGTATCGAGGCAACAAACCGGGGCAACAAGCCGGGGCAAACTAACGCCGTTCCGGGGAGAGCCACTCACGTGCACAACATTGACCAATGGAAATTGGGAGTGCCCCTGCCCCTGCGGCTCTTGCAGGCTGACCCCTCTTTTCGCTCTTGGCCGGTCGCCTGCACAGGGAGCGACGAAAGTAAATTTACGCAGTGCTTTCCAGCGGCTTTGGCAGCTTGGCTATGGAAGCATTGAACTGAGCTTACGAGTCGCAGGCTAGCAGCCACTGCCACTGCCAATTCCGAAACTGACTTTCCCTACGCTTCACTAGTCCCAGGAGTACCTGGTGGCATTACACGGGACTACCCCGTCCCCGTCGACCCCGTCGACCCTACGCGCCTCTGATCACTACGCTTAAGACTCAAGAGAAGGCAAGACACAGAGCCTGGTTACACCTCTCTCCACCCCCAAGTCCATCTTACCACCCGACCTCGAATCTCGTTTTTCCACTTCTTGTTCCCGACCGATCGCAACACGTCTAGCTTCCCTGTTGGAAAACATAATTGCGGCCAAACTTTGATCGTGTTGAAGCTATTCCGAAGCACCCGATCCGGTGGTGAGTGATGAGTGGAGGAGGAAGCGCTGTCTGTCCCCTCCAGAATTGAGCCATATCTGGCCCCACACGCTCGATCGCAGTTATCCATGATGCCCACCACCAGTACAGTGGCAGTGGCAGAAACACCACAAGAGCCTCGACAAGAACGCAGGCCCAGCGAGCAGCGTCCAATTTTGCCTAAAAAATGCCTCTACTGTGAAAGGAGATTCTCAAAGGCGGAGCACCTCAAGCGTCATCAGCGTTCCCGTATGTGCTCACGAGATGAAATCTCCGCCCGTACTGCGTATTGCAATGAAAACCTTTTATCTTGCACCTCCCGTCTGATTTAGATTGCGCGTCAAAAGCTAATGTATACCTTCCACGTAGATACTGGTGAGCGTCCATATCGATGTTCACGTTGTCAGAAATCCTTTTCGAGAAGGTCAGCCCTCAGGGAGACATATTGAGACTTGATCCTGTCTTGATATCTCACCAGATGACTCTTGCTAACCAGTTCAAAGTGATGTGCTGATACGTCATCTCAAAAACCATCCTCATATTCCAGGAGAGGAGGTTGAGCAGAGCGAATCAGATGGCGATCAACGACCGCCAAAGAGCAAGAGAAGAACCAGTGCGAGCAGTGTGATGAGTGTCGCTCAGCTGAAGAAGGAAGCCATGGGCCCTACCATCCAAGATCAACCACAGCGCTCTCTCTCGCCTTCCCAGATTGACCCGGCTCTCTTGGGATCAAATTCGGATTTTCATGAACAAAGTAACTCTCATGCTATGGCTTCGGGACTCGATCACCTGGCTCTTCTGGCTTCACAGCAACCTTGGGGTAACGGCGCAGGTGATGCAGCGATGACGGATTCCGGTAGTACGGTGATGGGAGGCCCAGAATCTCAGAATTGGCCTCAAGAACCGGTCTCACACAACCATGAGTTTGGTGGTGTGATGAATTATCAAAGCGGTCTACCGTCGACCGATGCAGATTTTCAGATGATTGGGGCTGCAGTACATCCACATCCGACTTTGGACTTTGGAGGTGATATGTATTCCGGACGCATGGGCTTACAAGACCAGATATCTCCCGGGATGGGTGGCATGACACCAAATAGCGGTATGATGCCACATGAATTACTTAATTGGTTTGACCAATTTGATATGGAAACCAGCAACCCTCCTGAACAACCACAGCCTCTTGATGGAAGCCCTCCAGCTAGACCGCAAGATGAAAGACAGCCAACGACCATGTCACCGGACGGGGGGAACTCTTCTAACAGCGGTTCCCTCAGCACTGTTATTCCAGCTGAAAGATTCCATAAGGTTGAACGATGCTGGCCGAACAAACCAAGCAATGCGGTCCGACTGATGCCAACTTTATGGCGAGATGCTATTATGAAGCCACAGGACAACTTATTTTCCAAAGACAACTTGACTTCTGAAGCTATCGAGCACAATCGACAGTATGGCTCTCGGTGGGGTTTAGATGAGGATTGTCGGACTCGACTACAAAAGATGTTTGTCAATTTGAGTAGGAAAGAATCGAGTCACGTCCTTGAGGAGAACTCTCCAATCTCACATTCATCGCCTTCTTCAAAATCATCAATTTCACATAACATTCAAGAAGAAATTTCCAACATACCAAATTTTCCTCCAGCAGAGATATTTGACATCAGTCTAGATTTGTTCTTTCGGCAATTTCACCCGCTCATGCCATTCATCCATACACCTACGTTTTGTCCAAAAACAGCTCCTACGTCAATACTCCTTATAATGTGTCTAATAGGCTTAACAATACTACAAACTAAAGGTGCAACAGCATTTGTAAAACAAGCTTTTCCGGTAACTACTTGCCATTCTCAGATTTCCCTTTTCAACATACGTTCTTCTAGGATCAACAAAATCTAACCAATTTTCAGAAAGCGCTCGAGAAAGTATGCACAGAACTAATGTCACCACCACGAGATGGGCGACGGATTGACCAGTTATCATCCTTGGCTAGTGCTATTTTCATCCTCTGCCTATCAGAAATGACCGGAGTAAGTGAGGTCTCAAGCTTTGGATGTCCCAGCTAACACCCTCAGGACCGAGCGCACCATGAACAGTGTCAGATGTTATATACGAGTGCCATAACAGTAAGTCTTTATACATGGATATCGATGAAAATGCTCATCAATCTTAAAGACGGCCCAGAGACACGGCCTTTTCAACACCAAAGATGTCCCACCCCTCGAGGAGCACTTATTAACGGCCATTCCGTCCATCGAAGTGAGATGGAAAGCATGGGCTCGTGTTGAGTGCATCAAACGGTAAGTTTGAGTTGCTATTCATTGAGGGCAGATACTGATATCAAAAGATTGATTCTCTGTCTGCCAATGGTTGATACATGGTACTCTGCAATTTTTCATACGAGTCCTATAATGCGCACGGATGAGATACGCATAATATTACCATGCGACGCAGCATTGTTTCAGGCGACTTCGGCAGCGAAATGGGATCAGCTCATTTCAAAAGGCGCTCGTTTGTGCATGCCTGAATTCTCTATGTCTTCCGACAAGATCAAACTACCCCACCTTGACACTACACTGGATGTTCACGGCATGGTTGGGTTATTAAGCTCGGTTCGATTGCGAATTTCAGAAAGCTTTCACCGTCTTCTATCCGGAAGTCAACGTCGGGCAATTGATCATTCGTTTGTACCTTGGAAGACGTACGAATCGGACACTCGTGCCCATGCAAGCCAAAATTTCACCACCCAAGTGATGCGGTCTTATGGGTCCATGTTATCAAACATGAATCCAAACTGTGTAATACTTTGGCACAATATGTGCATTATGCTTACTACTGATCAACGTCTGTTTGAACTTGGGGCTGGATGCGCAGGTGCAGAAGCAGCACGAGAGGCTCTTGATGATATCGCAGTCTGGGCACGAACGCCTGCGGCGAGAAGAGCGATTCTTCATTCAGGGCAAACCTTTACATTAATGGCCAGTCGACGAGCCTCGGATGGTGACCCATTCCATTCAACATCCAGTCTATTCGTCGCGGCTTTGGTGTTGGGTTTGTATGTTTTCATGGCAAGCCCTGAAAACCCAACCACCGGTCCAGCCTTTGACCTTACTGAAGAAGTGGTGGATTGGAATGTTGTGGGTGGTGAGGGTCTTTCAAATGACTCTCAATTGGCGCAAGATGATGCTGCCATCAATTTCATACAAAATGGTGGAAGAATCTCCTTTAATGGAGTTGTACATCAACCTGGATATCCGGCTGCAAGAAGAATACTGTTAGACTATGCGAGGTTATTGGAAGATATCGGGAAATGGCGGGTCGGCGTTCATCAATTTTCACGAGTGTTACGAATAATGAGCGATGCTCTCGTCGACGTTGATATTTCTGGAGAGTAGGCTTGTATTTCAAAGTATATCACTTGACTTTCTCGGTGTCTTTTATTGGTGCATTTGATACGAAGTTAGTGTTATCCCACATCAACAAGCTGAAACCCGGTTTCCGAGCGGGTCTGCATTACGAAAGTTTTGGCCCCCCTTCAAAAATCAACCTCGTCTCGTTATCCGTGGGGCTCTAGGCAAACAGCCTTTTCATGCTCTGAACAAAGATCGATCTTTCTCGCCAACGGCGCAGCAACAATAAACCCCACAAAGGGGATGCATGCCCCACCCCACCTCGGCTCGTTGGTATTAGTGGATGTACTTCGTATATATGCATTTTGATTGAACCACGATTGGCATTGACTAAAATTAGAGCGTCTAGTATCTATCTTCTATTAAATTGCTGCATCTTCATCACGATAATACTTTGTGGAGCTGCTGATTACTTTTTCCCTTTTAAAGGAGCAATTTGATCGTTTCCAACTACCACATTCAACCTCGTGCTTTATATTTATATTTCTACACAATCCCAACACGAAACCAGAAGAAACACAGCCCTCATCAATACCAAGCACAATGCCTCCATCAGCCGACCCCCCAACCTCGGACCCCTCCTTCTCACCCGTGACCACCAAAACCCAAGCTCCCACAACCAAAGATATCCCTATAGCTCCAGCTGTCAAGGCACCACTTCCTCTGACAGACCCCCAAAAGATCTTCCACTACACGGATCTCCAACGCAGTCAACCAACTCGTGCAAACGACCCTTACACCTACCTCTCGGGCTTCAACAATCGTCACGCCAGTGAGGTCATTCCTGGTACCCTCCCCGCTGGACAGAACAATCCCCAGGAGAACAGATTCGGCCTCTATACCGAGGGCATCACGTATAGTGCTTTTGCGGCGCCGAGGGAGGCGAATAGGAGTACGTATATGTACCGTGTTCGACCGGCTGCTGCGCATAGTAAGTTTCTTCTTTCCTATTTTGCGAGATACAAAAAAGTTTGGATTTCGACAGATAAGAAAAGAAAAGAAAAGTTGCTGATTTGGATTCAGATGGATATCATGACGTCAAAACCAGCGCCAACGTCGAGAACTGTTTCCTGACTCTCAATCCCAAGGTTGCCCTCCTCGCTGAACAGGCGGAATGGACCCCCTTCCCCATCCCACCTGCTTCCACGCCGACGGACTTTGTCGATGGTTTGCATACCCTCAGTGGCTCCGGCGATCCGAACCTCCGCGAGGGACTCGCGCTGTACGTGTACATGTTCAATAAATCCATGTCCGCACGCAGTTTCTGCAACTGTGACGGCGATTTCTTGATCTGTCCGCAAAAAGGCATCTTGGATATCCAAACCGAGTTTGGGAAGTTGTATGTCCAGCCCGGGGAGATCTGTGTTATCCAGCGCGGTGTGCGGTTCTCGATTAACCTTGATGAGAAGGCGGTGCCTGGAGAGGGTGCAAGAGGTTACATCACTGAGATCTGGGGAAGTACTTGGGAACTCCCTGATCTGGGGCCGATTGGAGGGCATGGGTTGGCGAACCCAAGGGACTTTTTGAAGCCGATTGCGTTTATTGATGAGGATCTCCATGTGCCCTTTGAGATTGTGAATAAGATGAACGGAACGTACGCTGCCATCTCACAAGACCACACACCCTACGACCTCGTAGCCTGGCACGGAAATGTCGTCCCGTACAAATACGACCTCACCAAGTTCTCATCCCAGAACTCGACGAGTGTCGATCATACGGATCCCTCGGTTAACACGGTCCTCACGGCCAAGAGTCATGATCCCCTCGTCCCCCTGGCGGACTTCTTGTGGTTTGGTCCCAGGTGGGATGTTGCGTCTAATACGTTTCGACTACCCTACTTCCATAGGAATAGTGCGTCGGAGTTCCTGGCTTCGCTGTATGGGAATGGACTCGGACGAAGTGAGGGCTTTGAACCGGGTGGTGGGAGTTTTGAGGGTGGGCATACGCCGCATGGGGGGTATGGAGAGGGGTATCAGAGGGAGATGAGGAGGGCGGTTGTTAATCAGCCGAGGAGGATATTGGAGGGTGAGTTTTGATTTTTTGTTCATTCTGTGGTTGTATGTCGGCAAGAAGCTAATATGGATCAGATCAAATGACCATCATGGTCGAGAGCTCGCGAACCTTCTTATGGACTGAGTATGCGAGGAAGGGATGTGGGTGTCTCAGTCAAGTAGCTACCGATCCCAAGGTGTGGGATAGTTTGCCTGTAAGTCTTCATCCCTCTTGTCATCGAGTTGAGAAATTCTTGCTAATGTCGGATAGGATAAATTCTCCACATACCCCGGTATCAAAGATCTTCTCAAGCGGGTTAAGGATGATAAGGAGGAGGAGAAGAAGAGGTTGGAGTTTTATCATCAGCCTCATATTGGAAGGTTTGAATGATTTTTCTTTGGTCAGAGGTTGGCAAAAGTCTGAGGATTGGGGAAGGTGTGGTGCGGTAGGTGGGTGGGTGATAGAATGATGGCGTTTTTGTGTAGATATTTTTGTGGGTTTGGTGGCTATGTTTGATGGTTAATGTTTTAGCTTAGTTTTGGTAATTGAGACTTTTTTACTCAGAAGCCTTGATGTTTGTTAGCTGGGGTGGTATTGAGTACGTGTCGTTGTGACGTGCCATGGAAATCATATGGAGGGTTTCTTGCTTGGAGTGGTGGATTGTGAGTGACTGGGTTTGATGTGTTTGTTGTTGGAGTTTGAGGATCTTCAATGTACCGCAGGGTATATTTCTCTGTTACTATCTCCTCATGTGGACAAATCAAGTATTATCTTACTGTAGGCTTCTAGACCTGTTCAGGCGTTTTGGTGATGTCGAGTCACAGGATCGCTATCTGTATGGTGTAATATGATAGTTCATTCAAGCCTTAACATGCACACATATGGGAATGGACGTTTCTTAGAATCCTTCATGTAAAACTCAAAACTCCTTATATATGCAAACAATATGCCCTATTTCTTTCCCAAGACCTCATCGACCATCCTGCCAGCCATGCCCAAATACTCCTTCTCCTCACACAGGGCTCCCAATCCCTCTTTACCAAGACATTTCACAACCTCCTCCTCTTCCACCAACACCTCAAAAAGACTCTTCCCCTCCTCAATCGCCTCTTTGCACGCCTTATACACAACATCATGACTTCTCCCTCTCCCAAGATGAGGTGCCAACCCCATCATCACCGCCTCACCCACAATCAACCCCCTACTACTCTTCAAATTCTTCTCCATAACCTGCTCATGCACCACCAACCCCGAAAGCACAAAATCCGCTTGATGCAACGCACCAACCGCCATGACAAAGCTGTCAGGCACAGCAACCCATTCCAGATGCCAAGGTCCACTAGCTCTCTCGAAATCCGACACCATGGCATCGAGACCCAATCCGGCATTGGATCGGAGAACCTTGGATGCCGCCAGCATCAGCTCGCTTGAGATGGGATTTCGCTTCTGCGGCATCGTACTCGAAGCCCCACGATGAGGAACGAAGGGCTCCGAAACCTCTCCATATTCATTCGAAGAAAGGATCATGAGATCCAACGCCACCTTGCCCAAACTACCTCCCAGTAACGCGAGGAAATTCAGAATCTCAGCTGGGCCGTCACGGGCTACATGCCAGGTAATACTTGGATTCTCCAAGTCCAGTTCTTTCGCCAACTCAGCGCGGACTTTGAGTCCCACATCATCTTTATTCCCCAACGATGCAAGAGTTCCCGCCGCGCCTCCGTATTGCACGAGTAAGACTCTCGGTTTAAGTTGTTCCAACCTCTCAAGATGTCTCTGAAAAGAAGACAACCAAACCGCAGCTTTATACCCAAAAGTCACGGGGAGAGCATGCTGCAAATGCGTGCGGCCCGCCATCGGCACATCCCTATACTTCTCACTCAGACCCTCTAGCGCCTTAATCACATCCCTCAGTCCCTTTTCAATAATTCCCAGTCCCTTTTTCATTTGCAGTATCGAGGCGGTATCCATGATATCCTGGGTCGTGGCGCCCCAGTGGATGTACTTGCCGCTTTCGCCATCGGAGAGGGCTTGCAGTTGCGTTATCAGAGGGAGGATTGGGTAGCCTACTATCTCGGTTTCTTTCTCGAGCTTGGAGTAATTGAGTGAGGGCGCGGTGTCCTTGAGGGTTTGCGTGAGGGTTGCGCCCGTTTGGGGGGGGATGATGGAGAGGGCTGATTGGGCGCGGGCTAGGGCGAGTTCGACGGCGATGCAGTGGTGCATGTAGGATGTGTCTGAGAATACCTGAGGATTTTGTTAATACAGAATATCCGAAAAATCACAGACCAGTTTCTAAGTCTCCGTCATTATAGAAGTATGAAATCCTTCTTTTGAAAGGTCCAGTTCCTGAAGCGTAAACTCCAATACATGTAATCATAAAGAAACACCACCCATGAAGCAAAAATCCCACATCCTACTTTCCTCCAACCAACACTATGTATAGAAAAAAATTAGGGACTTACATTCCTAATCTCCTCCGTCCCAAACAACGAGCGAAAAATCCGCGAATCAATCGCCGAAACATTCATCTTGCGCCTCTGCAAAATCCTCGTCACCCTCTCAGAAACCCTACAATTGCTCTTCCCAGCGATCTTCAAAAACGACGAGGAGGTTAAAAGGGTACGACGGAAGGTGTTGGATATCATGTTTTTCTTCTAAAGAATGAGAGTTGTGTCATACAGTACCCCACTTTCGTGTTGGAATTGTATGTGTGATTGTATGAATGGATATGGATATGAAAGACAACACAGAAAAGAAAATCACCTACGAATTATCCCCACGTAACGTATGCTCTACACCCCGGTTTGGGGTCCTGGTTGTGTACGGTACCTCCACTTGGGATTGACGTCTTGGGAGACGCGATCTACGTAGTCGTGTTGAGTACAGTACCGACCGGGTGGGGCTTGTAGCGAACCCCGCAAATGTGGCAGTCCTGGTGGGGGAGGAGCTTTTGGTGGGTACCTGAAACCCGAAGGTCCAGACTCCATAGTCCAGGTGTGAATTGAGTTCTGGATGAGGAAACATGTACTTCGTATTAATGAGTTGGGGAAACCTAAGATTCGCATGATGTGGGGAAACTTTGATAGAGGGCTATTTACTGGTAGTGAGATGTTTTATTCTCATTCTCGTTTAAGATTATGACAAGGGTACTCATGGTTTGAATTTATTTACTCGAGTAGCTCCAGAACTTTGGAGGGTTGAATAGTCTAGATAATATCATAGCAAAATCCATCATTCCCTCAAAAACAAACTAGCAACTCCCATCCCAGTACTAGCACACATACTTATAACACCTACTTCCTTCCCTGACCTATCCAGTTCATTCATCAAAGTAGCCAGCTGTCTCGCACCCGTAGCACCAGTGGGATGTCCAATAGCAATCGCACCACCATTTGGATTGACTTTCTTCTCATCCAACCCCAATTCTTGAATGCAGTACACTGCTTGACTTGCAAAAGCCTCGTTCAGCTCAGTGATATCGATGTCTGATAGTGAGAACCCGGTGTGTTTGAGTAAAGCTGGGATCGCGTAGATCGGTGATATTCCCATGAGTGCGGGTTCACATCCTGCTACTTGGGTTCCTATAAAGCGACCAATGGGCTTAAGACCGCGAGCATCCGCCCAAGAACGACGACAGAGGATAGTTGCTGCTGCTCCATCTGAGATTTGTGATCTTTTCCCTCAGATTAGCTCATGTAAAATTGAATTCTAAGTAAGGACACTTACGAGTTCCCAGCTGTGCTTCCACCATCCTCTTTAAAGGCAGCTTTCATAGACTTAATCTTCTCCAACGTCAACCCATCTCTAATCCCATCATCCCTAGTAACCAACACCTTTTCTTCTTTCCCATCCTCACCAACATTCACCGTCTCCACCCCCACAATCTCCCTCTCAAACCTCCCCTCACTCCTCGCCGCACTCGCCCTCCTCTGACTCTCAAACGCAAACTCATCCTGCATCTCCCTCGTAATCCCAAACTTCTCCGCCACATTCTCACTAGTAATCCCCATCGGCATAATACAATCAGCCGCCTCCTTGACCTCACTCCCTCTCAACCTCGGACTCAAATCCTGCGGTATCCCTCGCGTAGCCTTATAATTCCTCGACATAGACTCCACACCCCCCGCAAGACCAACCTCAATCTGACCCACCATAATCGCATGCGCCAGATGCGTAACAGCCTGCAAACTCGACGAGCACTGTCGATTCACCGTGTGGAAAGTAGTGGAATTAGGGAAGCCCGCATGATTCAGTGCCATCCTGCCCGTTTTCGCGAAGCCCAACTCGGCGAGGACGTTGCCGATGAGGACATCTTTGACGTCTTTTGGAGCGATTTTTGCGCGTGTGACTGCTGCTTTCATGACCTGTTTTGGATGGTGTGTTAGTGAGTAATGTCATGGGAATAGGTATGTACGTACAGGTCCAATGAGATCCTCCGGCCAGGCATCTCGGAATCCTCCCTTGAAGGCTCGCGTTACGGGACTGCGAACTGAGGAGAGAATCACTACATCACTAGGCAGTTTTGTAGTCAGACTTCTGCGGGCAGCATTGGAAAGTGCTGTCATTTTCAAGCCCGTTTTTTTTCTGAAGACCTTCTGACAAGTAAGCCCTTTTGGAAATTCTACGAGAGGAACTCCGGTGAAAAAAAGAAGCTTGAAAAATAGACGATATATCACTGCCAGCTTTCGCTTCACCACACCGAGTGATAACGTACCTAGTTAGCTAGCTGCACATGTGTGGTTTCACTGCATAATCCCCAGAAAGGTGGTGTGGGGCTGCCTAAGCGGGTATGTAGTTCCCCTCCACCCCTCTTCATAAATGCCCCACTATGAGACTTTGAGTCTTGTGCAACCACGGGTGTCAAACCGGACCAACGTCTTTTCAGTAACAAACCCGCTCGTTTGGGATAAGGTATCCAATTACACAGGTCATGTGATCTCGGTAAGAACCCGACGGTATTGAAAGCAAGGCGTTGTTGTGTTGTAGACGTTTTTACAGGTGGTAGAATTGCTTGGTTCGCAGTATATTGTTTCTCATATCGGCGTCCTACTGGTCCAAAAGAGCATGCGTAGATTTGTGGAAGAGGAAAATGAATTAGCTTTTGTAAAGCTAAAGCATACTCTACAGTTCTCTTTGAACAACAGGAAATCATTACTAACAGGACGAAGCCTTCTTCCCACCGTGTATTCTCAGAGCATTCGTATGGAAATGACCCCCAAGTCCAAATCTGAGCTGATGCCCTCATATCGATTGACAGCGACCCTAACAAATATCCAGGAAGCCTGAGCACAAAGTCGAAAATCGAGACACTAAATACAATTGTGATGGGGGATAAAAAATACTAGTTCTACTACTGAGGGCGTAGATTCATACATCTCCGAAGTAAAACGGGCATTTCCTTATAGAATTTTCAATGATCTTGTCTTCTCTATTGTAAAAGAATACTATACAAATTAAAGCATGGTCTTCAGATCCGGAGAGACTTTGAAAGGAGCTTCAGTCTTTGCCTTAACCTCATCAACCGTGACACCTTCAGCAACTTCAATCAAGGTCAAACCCTCCAGGCGGTCAACATCGAAGACTGCGAGCTCGGTGATAATTCTCGATACACAGTTCTGACCCGTAAGCGGGAATGTACATTCTGCGAGTTTGTCAGTAAACATTCAGGTGATTACTCGCAGGATACTGACGTTTTAGAATTTTGGGATTGCCCTTCTTGTCAACGTGATCCATAGTGACAACAACCTTTGTCTTTTCTGGGTTGGCGACCAGATCCATAGCACCACCGATACCCTTGACTTTTCCAGGCAGCATGAAATTCGCAAGATCTAAGTGAAAATATTAGCACTATTTAAGACTAACCATCTTACAGATACTTACCACCATACATTCCAACCTGCAAAGCACCCAGCATCGTGAGATCAATCCTTCCAGCTCGAATCATGCCGAAACTTTCATGGCTGCCAAACAACGAAGCGCCTTGATTTAAAGTCACAGTTTCTTTTCCGGGATTGATCAGATCAGGATCTTCCTCGCCGGGGTATGGATATGGTCCCATTCCGAGAATACCATTTTCCGACTGCAGAACAACTTCGATTCCTGGTTCAACAAAAGCTGGGGCTGCGAGCGGTATGCCGATTCCCAAGTTAACGTGCATGCCATCCTTGAATTCTTTTGCAGCACGCTTGATGATTCTTTCTCGACCTGTTGAACCACCTCCGACTGAGAAAAATTCCGGTTAGCTTGGGAAATACCAAATTCGAACTCAGAAAAACCTACCTGAAGCCTTCAACTCCTCTGGTGTCTTTCGAAATGTAGTCTTCTCAATCTCCTTCTCTTCTGTGCTTTGAATCACCTTGCTGACATAAATTCCCTGAATGTGTATATCTTCCGGTGCAATTTCACCAACTTCTACAATGTGATCCGTCTCAACCAACGTAATCTTTGCATTCTTACCCATTGCTTCATTGAAATTGTTTTGCGCTTTTCGAAATTGACAATTCCCCATCCTGTCCGCCTTGTGGACTTTGACGAATGAGTAATCCGCGAATATTGATTCCTCCATTACGTATGGCTTCCCGTTGAACGTTCGAGTTTCTTTTGGTTTCGACATTAGGGCAACGGTACCATCTGAGTTGTATTGTACTGGGAGGTCTCCTGTTTGTACTACGGATATTGTTAGTAAATGACTACTTTGATCCAACATAGAGGAAGTGAAAGATATACCAATTGTGCCATATGCCGCGGGAGTATAGAAAGCTGGCACGCCCGCTGCCCCTGCCGCACATTTCTCTGCCATAGTGCCCTGTGGAGTAAGCTCGAGGGCCAGTTCTCCAGAGAGATACATCTTCTCAAACAACTTGTTCTCCCCAATAAAAGAAGCAACCATCTTGCTGATCTGCTTGCTTTCAAGCAACTGCCCCAATCCAACACCTGGCATGCCAGCATTATTCGAGACGACCGTGAAATCCTTCAAATCCGAACGATCGCGCAACGCGTTGATGAGCGAATTCGGGACTCCGCTAAAGCCAAAACCACCAACCAGCAAGGTCGTGCTACCTTTCACATCTTTTATAGCTTCGCTGGCGGAGGCACATATTTTGTTTATCTGCCATCGACGGGTGGAAGACGAGAAGTTGCGACGGGAGATACTACTGACGGAGCAGAGGCGTGCGACTTTCATTTTAGTGATGGGTGATGGTTTAAGAATTGGAGCTTTTTCCAGCACTCCACCAAACTTGCAGAGCTGTAGATAATATGAAGGTATTCCGACATCTTGGTGGATTGTGGGGTCCCCATTGCCGTGGTTCAAGGTTGATGGTTGGCTTTGATGTTGTGCTGCCAGGCAAAGCTACTGGGCCCTGTCCCACAGCGCAGAAATGCCCCACGCTCGTGATCCCCGCGAATTTGCTCACCAAGGCATAGCAAGTTCGTAACCTCGAAGGCTGAGTAGAAACAGACTGAAAACCAAGAGAAAGATACGAGAAAACGCGGATCTGAGAGAATCTCCCTTTTGCCGGCATCTTTGGTTTCATGTAAGTTGTGCATAGATGTCGCGTGGAGTAGGTCTGATTATTGCCATTTTTGCAGGCTTCGGATAATTCCCACCTTCCCCTTTTTGGTTGCTACTCAAGCACCTGCTTAGCTTGAAGCGATGCCTAGAATGTCAACACACTACGGTAGCTTAAACACGCAGCCTGACTTCTCAAAATAATCCTTCTACTAACCCATAATAGCTCAGGATTTCTTTCAAAATTGCCGGATATTTCTGAACGTAATAGACTGCAACTTTTCCATATGGTGATGTTAGTGAATAATTGGCTTCCGTGTTTATAGTCTTGTAGATTCCGCTTGCTTACAGGGGAGTAGAACTTTACTAATCATATCATATTATACTTAGATCCAAGTTTTCGAGAGAACAGAAGTTCGAATATATCATATGGAGATTGTTATGTTGAAACGATAGAGAGTAAACATGAAAAGCAATATAGATAGAAATTGATTATTCTTAAGGAGACCTGATTCAAGGCGACGTGGCGGTAAGTTAATTGACCATGGCAACAATTTTTGGATCAAATGATCTAGTTCAAATTAGTTGTGAGGTTGGAGGCGCCTACACATTCCTTTCCAGAAACCCCATCTTCTTAAGGATATAACTTTTCTTTCAGAATGCAGCTACTCAAAGCGATAAGCTGTCATTGACAATCTTTAAGTTCATCTATTAAAAGCTATCAAGAACGAAAAGCTGCCAGATGGTAGTGAATCGGACTCACCGATAATCTGCTGAGGCACAGGTACAGTAGCCCAAGCAAAACGAATCTTCATTAGCAAATGGGTGCTCACGGATGACTTGTGAAGGAAAGTCCTCAAGCCACTCGGGGCCACTGAAGAACCCGCTTACGGTGATCATCTTAGGTAGTAGTGGTCTCTCTTCGTAAGCGTGCCGGTACATATTGCTAGCCATTTTCCACTGTGAAATCCAGGGCTCCATCATCTCCATTTCCCGTATTTGTCAATCAATACTGCTAGTTGAAACCCCGAGTGGCGTGGTGGAAATGTATAAAAAGGATCACTGAGGAATCTCATATACATGACGTTCAGCACAAACTCCAAAGCTGCGGGGTCTTCATCAGTTAAGTGAAGCTTAGCGTTGTCTTGTGTCGATCGAGAGGCTGTACTGTATATAAAAAGATTCGCACTATAAATATAAAAATCTAAACCAAGTATCTTAGTTTCATTATATGGCTAAGTACACGTCAAACAATCTTCATCCAGATTATTCCCCCATTCCCTCTGCGCCAACCCTTTCCCCACCATCTCCCCCTTCACACGATCCGGTTCCAATTCCAGAACCACAACTTGATTCTCGTCGCCTGGCTTCAGTAATGTGCCAGGAAGGTACAACGATTGTTGAGGTCCTACACGCCAATACCTTCCTAGATTGAAACCGTTCACCCAGACGTTTCCCTTCACGCCTGCGGGGATAGCGAGATATGTGTCCAACTCCATCAGGTCGGAAAACTCTTTCGTAACATTGAAGCAGCCCCTATAAAATACAGGTGTGTTTTGAGAGGTGTTGGCAGCTTCGACAGCGTCACCCACAATATTGTCGACGAAAGAAATGTCTGCGAGGGGAAGTGTGAACATGCTCCAGTCTTGAAGTACTATTCCTCCAATCGTCACGTTGCCCACGATGCCTTTGTAAGGATCTGTGACACGATTCTGGTACGGGGTTCCTCGTGAATAGTAATTTACTCTTCCGAGATTCTCCACAAACAGTTGGAGTTTGTCACCGATTCCAAGGGATACATTGACAGCTGGGGGGTTCTTGTATTCACTGTCGATGATGCCAATTCTATTTCCGTTCACATAGATGATGACTCGATCCCGAGCATGGCCTCCTGGTTGAATTGATCCGCTTACGGGCCACGTAATTATGTTTTCGTAGAGTGTGAAGCCATAATCTTGACCCAGAGCCTCCATTGACATCGGGAACTCTGCGAGCGTATTCTTTCCCAGGGTTTCAAAGAGTTGTATTACCGGCTGCAACTTGAATTCAGGCACTTCCATCATAGGAAGATTCAACGGGACATCCGGAATGCTCCCCACTTCCACATATTTCTGTATCGTCTGCCGAATTGCATTGTACGAGTCCGTGATTCTACCACTTTCATCAAGCGGTGCGCCATAATCATAGCTGGAAGTCCATACTCTCGTCTGATCCTGCCACAGCGCACCATTACTGAAGCCAAAGTTCGTACCGCCATGAAACATGTAGAGACTGATGGAAACCGACTTGTTGCCAAGGACATAATCAAGATCGCTAACGAAGCCTGCGATGGTTCCGCTTCCAGGGCTATTGTGTGGATTGGATGGGCCCCATATATCCGCTGTAAAGGTATAGTACTCCCCGTCGAGAAGAGGTCCTTTTTGTGAGGGATCGGTGATATATCGTTCAAGTGCGTCGAATCCCATCACGCCACCATCAATTTCAGCAAGGACACCAGGGACGGATCCTCCTTCCAATGTCCAATCTTCACTTCCGTCGTTTGTGTAAAACACAGTCCCGTTGTCAAATGTTGTCCGAAGGATATCAAGGAGTGCCGATGTGTAATTGTGATCACGTCCGTAAGAGCCGTATTCGTTTTCCACTTGGACCATCAATATCGGGCCTCCACGGGTAGACTGCAGCTCCCGAATATCAACGGCAAGCCTTTCAATAAACCTCCTTGAAGCTTGCATGAACGGCGCGTTATAATCTCTCACAACCAAGCCAGGAACACCAGCCAACCAAGCAGGAAACCCGCCCCAATCCCTCTCTCCACAGATGTACGGCCCGGGTCTAAGTACAATCTTCAATTGTTCCTCTTCAGCGATGCGGAAAAACCCTGCAATGTTGTTCTCGCCAGTGTTGACCCAGTTGCCTTGCTGCGGTTCCAGCATGTTCCAGAATACATACGAGAATATGGTATTTAAGCCCATCGCTCGTGCTTTCTTCAGTCTATCGCGCCAGTATTGAGGTGGGACTCTTTGGGGGTCCATTTGCCCCCCGATGATCTGATAGGGCATGCCATTGAGAAGGAAATTCGTCCTGTTGTATGTGAAGGATGATGGACCGCCTGTGTTTACTGGCGAGGCGAAGGCTTGAGGAAAAGAGAGGTCTTCCGATACACAGGCAATCAGTAGAAAGGCATGAAGAAGCCGCATTGTACCATGTTAGACTATGAAAGTTACAATCTACAAAGAATCGCAAGACAACAGCAAGACAACAGTATAGCCTCATGTTTTGAAGAATCCAAGGATCTAGTACATCCCAAAGACGACCAGCAGACAAGTACGTTGATTGGTGGATTTACTGAGCTGCCTTAATCTGGTCTTTGATAAGGAAGGGATACAACGTTGTAATGACCAAAGGTGGAAGGTTTCCAGCTGCATGTATATTAGCCGAGAGGGGCGATGCAACCTCGGTAGATTCGCCGTAGCGAGCCCGAGCGAGCGTAGGTATAACAACTACCCCATAAGGATTTGAAGACTAGTCCTTCCCAAGTGTATCGAGAACAAAGTTCTGTCGCTTTTCACAGTGAGATTAGATTATGAATAAAAGCAAGGCTAAGCAGAGAATCGATAAGTTCTTAAACCCACTTTTCCCTTGTATATATAAACATATAACCCCGTAATTTCCTTCCCGCTCCCAACCTCTATCTCATTATTATTATTATTATTATTTTGAAAAAAGAAAAAGAAAAACCAATCAATATTATATATATATATATATATATATATCTACATATATCTATCTATCCCAATCACCCATCCACCCATCTCATCCACAACAATCCCAAATCCAATCCAATCCAATCCAATCCAATCCCCCCCCCAACAAACAAAAAAATATAAAACTAAACCCCCACCCACTAACCCCCCAAACATAATAATATCAAAAAAATAAAACAAATGATATAAAAAACCCGAATAAAAAACATAAAATATCCAAGGGTAATGGAATTCTATTCAAGCAGGAATTTCCCCCCTCCCCTTCCCCTTC